TCCAGCAGAGCATGCCTCCCTGATTGTCCTATAAGGCTGCATAACCTCTGACCCTCTGACTGGGCAGTGCTGATCACATGCAAAAAAAAAAAAACTATCTAGCAATACACACCAAACTGAGCATGTGCAGCTTGCCCCCAAGGCTCTGTTCTATCAGGAGATGGATTGGTGACTGTGGAATAAGGGGAGGATCAGAGAAGACAAGATCAAACATCCTTTTTGTGGAGAATAAACCCCTTAGGTTCCACTGTGAGTATAACAAGCATGCATTATTGCATATACAGACTGATTTCACTGTTGTAGGTTTAGTGACACTTTAAGGGCAGACCTGTGAAAGAACTGGTGAAGGTGGCACAGACAGATCTGAAAGAGGTTTAGTTAAAGTGGCGCAGGCCACTCCTGGCAGCTTCTTGCACCAGGGGCGGACTGACCATTCAAGCACTCAGGCACTGCCCGAGGGCCCGGGGTCAGTAGGGGGCCCCAAAAAATGCCCCTGGTACCTTTTATAGGCTTTTTTGGGTGTGCTTTGAGTGTGGGCAAGGACATGGGGGCCCCATGATCCCCCATTGCCTGGGGGCCCCATGAGTTGTCTGTCTGCCCTTGTCTTGCACCATTATAATGGCATAGGGTGCCTAATTAATTCCCTGGAATGTTGCTAGCATATTGCACCTCAACAACTATAAATCACATAAATATACAGTATATGTGAGCGCACTAAAAGGTATTAGAAAGTATAGACTGTTAGCAGCTGTGCACGAAAGTAACCAAAATAGAACCTTTCAAAAGACACAAAGTATAAAAGTGCAGCGCTTAAAATTGATAATAACAAATACGTGCAAAGTTCTAATTTGATATTAGTAATGCCAAAAAATTCATATTGGTAATTAAATATTAAATATATCCAAAATTCATATACGGTATGGGTAAAAATAAAATAAATCAGTATAGGTAGTAAATAGTTTGTGATGGTGATTCAATGGTGCCCATATAGTGCTAAATCTTCAGTCGGTGCTTGTGCTCGTTTTGAAATAGAAGAAATGCGCACTCACCGGATGCACAATGTATATGCGTGTTATATCCTAGATTGTAAGCTCGAAAGAGCAGGGCCCTTGAACCCCTCGTGTTTTGTTTTGTTACTGTATTGTCTCATGTTCTGTCCCCCACTATAATGTACAGCGCTGAGCAGACCTTTTAGCACTATATAAATACTGTATAATAATAATATATAATGTATCCTGCTGTCATCAAGGTAGTCATCTGGGCCAGTTGTGGAAGTGGCTCCCTCTCAGGATGGATATGTCCCAGGGCTTTAAATGATGATCCAGGGGCGTCCAGGGTTCCAATTAGGGGATAGGTGGGTGCAGCTTTCAAAGGTTAACTGGAGGCTCCCTCTATGGAGAAATAGGGCTGGGCGTCTAAAAGATTAATACTCCCCAAAGGAGTCAAGATAAAAGAATGCCCATGGTGTAGTAGGTATTAAAAAAATAATTTATTAAAGGGTTAAAACAGATGCATTCCTAGAAAGGAAGATAAACAGAGATCAGGACTAACCGTCCCCAAGTAAAGATGGCCGCTGGAGCTCCATGTTGCTCCGACGGCGTGATGTCATGGCGCAATTGGCTCCTCCTCCTGACACCGCTGGCAATCTTCCACACATCCCATTCCTGGAACCCGGGCAGCACTGGACACGATCGGCCCCTTCAAGAACACGGTTTCAACGCCCTATCTTATTACCTTCTTGTGAATAGCTATTTGGCTATTTTATCAATAAACTTTTTATACATACAGCACTTAGGTTGGCGCCCCCTTTTACCTCCAGCAGATCAACAGCTTCAGCTCTGTTTCTGTGTGCTGTGTGGAAGGAGGTGTGTCCTTTCCCTCCAATCAGCTCTCAGAGCTCTCCTAACTGAGCTCTGCAGAGTGTAACTTCAGCTCTCTGTCTCCTTTGAATGGATGTAGAGAAGTGAAGACTGTAGATAAACAGGTACAACTTATGTAGGGGGATTTGTTTTATCTCTGTGTATCACCTGAGGCCAGCCACTTCATTGGGTATATGTAAGGGTTTACATCCACTTTAATTTGCAGGGATTTCCACTCATTCTTGGTTTTAATATGGAACAGAAAGCGAAGGGAAATCTCTCCAATGGGACAGATGGCAAAAAAAAAATCTGACGGGTTATATCCATCACTCACTCTATCCAAAATGAAAACAAATGTTGCTTTTAGTTTTACTTTAAGCTTCCCAACAAACAGTCAGTTCTGTTTTTTAATTGTGTGTGTGTGTACGTGCGTGCGTGCGTACAATCTGTGTTGTTGGTAAAGCAGCATGCTTTACACACATTACACATAGTTAGGCACATATTTAACCCTTGATTGCCCTAGAGGTTAACCTATTCCTAGCCAGTGTCATTAGTACAGTAACAGTGTATATCACGGGTGTCAAACTGGCAGCCCTCCATCTGTTGCCAAACTACAAGTCCCATGAGGTATTGCAAGATTGACAGTTACAAGCATGACTCCCAAAGGCAGGGGAATGATGGGACTTGTAGTTTCGCAACAGCTGGAGGGTTGCCAGTTTGACACCCCTGGTGTATAGTATTATCACAAATCCCTGTATTAGTGTCAATGGTGATGTCAGTGTCAGTCAGTTCCCCCAGCACCAGTTAGTGTCAGATTGCCCGCCGCAGTATTGCAGTCTTGTTATAACTGATTGCTCCCATTAGTAGTATAAAAAAATAAAATTCCAGTATATATACTATAGTTTTTAGACACTATAAGTTTCCCACAAACCATCAATATACCATATATATATGGAACTTGAGCTCAAACCAGGAAAGTGTACTTTTATTATATCCTGCAAGTTTTGTGCGCTTTCTGAAAGTGCACCACACCCGCACAATATAATAGAAGTCTATGGCAAAGTGCAGCAACAGGAAAGCTGAAGGTGTACTGCACTGCACCCATGGTGTGGGTAAACAGCAGCACATCAGTTAGAAAGCAGCCTTTTAGGGGGGCCCAGGACAGTAAGGGCTTGTTTATATTTTGCAGCTTGGGGGGCAATAAAACCCCGTAGTTTAGACATGTTTTAACCCCCCCCCCCCCCCGTTGCCAATCACTGGTGTAGTGTCAGGGGTTGCAATGTCAACCCCGCCCCATACACCAGGGGGTCCACGGGGCCTCCCTTTCACATACTGTTTTACACTTGGACAGGAAGGGCAGCATATACAGGAATCGATCCTCTCCATTTTTGTCCTGCAACCTCTGAAAGCCGGCTTCACCTCCTCTTCCTCCCACCAGCATTCAGCAGCTGCAGGAGGAAAATGAACTTCTGAAAAGGAAATTCTGAACCATTTCATTTCATTGTGGCCCGCGACCGGTTACCAATCACTTGAGTGGCCCCCGCTCTTCAAAAGGTTGTGCGCCTTTGCAATCTACATACTTTTTTTAGCCAAAATGTATGAACACATTTTATTTTTTATTGGATATGTTTTATAGCAGAGTAAAAAAAATATTGTTTTTTTTTTCCAAAATGTTTGATTTTTTTTGCTTATAGCGCAAAAAATAAAAATCCCAGTGGTGAACAAATACCACAAAAACCCTGTATTTATGTGAAAAAAATATATAAATTTAATTTGGGTGCAGCGTTGCATGACCATGCAATCGCCAGTTAAAGTAATGCAGTGCTGAATAGCAAAAAATGGTCTGGTCACAAGGGGGTAAAATCTTTCAGAGCTTAAGTGGTTAAAACATGCTTCTCCACCAGGGGCAGACTGACCATTTGGAAACTCGGGCACTGCCCGAGGGCCCGGGGTCAGTAGGGGGCCCCATGAGATGCCCCTGGTACCTTTTTCATAGGCTTTTTTGAGTTTGGGCAAGGACACAGGGGCCCCATGATCCCCTATTGCCCGGGGGCCCCATGAGTTGTCAGTCCGCCCCTGTTCTCCACTATAATGGCATCATATAAGAAGACACAGCGGCAGACACAAGATAACACATCTCCTCCTCCTCTCCTTTCAGTCTCCTCTGTCACTTTCTGTTATTTATTACAATAAGAGACAAAGCTCCTCAGATGGGACAGGAAACACAGCTAACTGTGCAGTTCCTTAACAAGCCACGAGATGGCGCTGTTTTTACGAGTCTGGGTGTAGTCGTGCCCCTCTCTGGCTCTGTGATGGTGCTGAACATGTCTTCATTCCGGAGACATCTTTATGAAGCCACTAAACGAAGGTGAATGGTGTTTGGTCTACACAAAAATGGCAGCCATGTAGTAAACTCGGAATTGAAGTAGTTTTGTTGTCCTCATGGGCCTCTTGTGAGAACAGCGATGTATTGGGAAGACATGTAAGGATTATCACAGTCTAGAGAGGAGATCTTCAGCTTCATGAACTAAGGAGACGGAGAGAGTTTGTAAGACTTGTTCTGTTCAGACATTTCTCTGACTGACCGTGTGGCTGGACTTGAATGCCTATAGAAATGTTGTGTGATTGAGACTAGAGAGCTCCATCTGATCTGTGCAGCTTTTCCTCTAGATCAGTGGTCTCCAAACTGGGTACTATTCCTCCCACTGACACCAATGATGGGGCACTATTCCTCCCACTGACACCAATGATGGGGCGCTATTCCTCCCACTGACACCAATGATGGGGCGCTATTCCTCCCACTGACACCAATGATAGGGCGCTATTCCTCCCACTGACACCAATGATGGGGCGCTATTCCTCCCACTGACACCAGTGATGGGGCGCTATTCCTCCCACTGACACCAGTGATGGGGCGCTATTCCTCCCACTGACACCAGTGATGGGGCGCTATTCCTCCCACTGACACCAGTGATGGGGCGCTATTCCTCCCACTGACACCAGTGATGGGGCGCTATTCCTCCCACTGACACCAATGATGGGGCGCTATTCCTCCCACTGACACCAATGATGGGGCGCTATTCCTCCCACTGACACCAGTGATGGGGCGCTATTCCTCTCACTGACACCAGTGATGGGGCGCTATTCCTCCCACTGACACCAATGATGGAGCGCTATTCCTCCCACTGACACCAGTGATGGGGCGCTATTCCTCCCACTGACACCAGTGATGGGGCGCTATTCCTCCCACTGACACCAGTGATGGGGCGCTATTCCTCCCACTGACACCAGTGATGGGGCGCTATTCCTCCCACTGACACCAGTGATGGGGCGCTATTCCTCCCGCTGACACCAATGATGGGACGCTATTCCTCCCGCTGACACCAGTGATGGGGCGCTATTCCTCCCGCTGACACCAATGATTTGACGCTATGATGGGGCCTCCCGCTGACACCAGTGATGGGGCGCTGACACCAGTGATGGGGCGCTATTCCTCCCGCTGACACCAGTGATGGGGCGCTATTCCTCCAAGTGATGAGGCCCTATTCCTCCCACTGAACCAATGATGGCGCTATTCCTCCCACTGACACCATGAGTGACACTAATGATGGGGCGCTATTCCCACTGACACCAATGCTGGAGCGCTGACACCAGTGATGGGGCGCTATTCCTCCCGCTGACACCAGTGATGGGGCGCTATTCCTCCCCTGACACCTGCACTATCCCTCCCACTGACACCAAGTGATGGGGCGCTATTTCCTCCCGCTGACACCAGTGATGGGCGCACTATTCCTCCCTCTGACACCTATATGGGAGCCTATTCCTCCCGCTGACACCAACGATGGGGGCGCTATTCCTCCCGCTGACACCAGTGATGGGACGCTATTCCTCCCTCTGACCCAACTGACTATCCCTCCAGTGATGGGGCGCTATTCCTCCCACTGACACCAAACGCTGGGCACTATTCCCTCCCACTGACACCAACGCTGGGGCACTATCTCCCCTGACCCCTGACTACCCACTGACACAACGTGGAGCACTATTCCTCCCCTGACACCAGTGCTGGGGCACTATCCTCCCTCTGACACCAACGCTGACTATCCCTCCCACTGACACCAATGGGGCCCTATTCCTCCCACTGACACCAACGCTGGAGCACTATCCTCCCACTGACACCAACGCTGGAGCACTATTCCTCCCACTGTACACCAATGGAGGCACTATTCCTCCCACTGACACCAATGCTGGAGCACTATTCCTCCCACTGACACCAATGCTGGAGGCACTATTCCTCCCACTGACACCAATACTGGAGCACTATTCCCCCACTGACACCAATGCTGGAGCACTATTCCTCCCAATGACACCAATGCTGGAGCACTATTCCTCCCACTGACACAAATGCTGGAGCACTATCCCTCCCACTGACACCAACGCTGGAGCACTATCCCTCCCCACTGACACCAACGCTGGAGCACTATCCCTCCCTCTGACACCAACGCTGGAGCACTATCCCTCCCTCTGACACCAACGCTGGAGCACTATCCCTCCCTCTGACACCAACGCTGGAGCACTATCCCTCCCTCTGACACCAACGCTGGAGCACTATCCCTCCCTCTGACACCAACGCTGGAGCACTATCCCTCCCACTGACACCAACGCTGGAGCACTATCCTCCCACTGACACCAACGCTGGAGCACTATCCCTCCCACTGACACCAACGCTGGAGCACTATCCCTCCCACTGACACCAACGCTGGAGCACTATCCCTCCCACTGACACCAACGCTGGAGCACTATCCCTCCCACTGACACCAACGCTGGAGCACTATCCCTCCCACTGACACCAACGCTGGAGCACTATCCCTCCCACTGACACCAACGCTGGAGCACTATCCCTCCCACTGACACCAACGCTGGAGCACTATCCCTCCCACTGACACCAACGCTGGAGCACTATCCCTCCCACTGACACCAACGCTGGAGCACTATCCCTCCCACTGACACCAACGCTGGAGCACTATCCCTCCCACTGACACCAACGCTGGAGCACTATCCCTCCCACTGACACCAACGCTGGAGCACTATCCCTCCCTCTGACACCAACGCTGGAGCACTATCCCTCCCACTGACACCAACGCTGGAGCACTATCCCTCCCTCTGACACCAACGCTGGAGAATATCCCTCCCACTGACACCAACGCTGGAGCACTATCCCTCCCACTGACACCAACGCTGGAGCACTATCCCTCCCACTGACACCAACGCTGGAGCACTATCCCTCCCACTGACACCAACGCTGGAGCACTATCCCTCCCACTGACACCAACGCTGGAGCACTATCCCTCCCACTGACACTAAGGATGAGGCACTACTCCTTCCACTGACACCATCAACGGGGCAGCATTCCTCCAACTGACAATAATGATGGTGCTCCATACCTCCCACTGACACCATAAATGGGGAACTGTTCCTCCAACTGATCCTAATGATGGGGCATTGTTTACTGACGCCGAGGCATTTTCTACTCCCACCATCCACAGTCTGGCCCTCCTAAAGCTTGAAGGACAGTAGACTGGCCCTTTGTTTGGAAAGTTTGGAGACCCCTGCTCTAGATGATCTATCAGTGACACTTTTAGTACATGCTGACACTAAAGGGGACCTTCATTCCCATTTACATGTTTACTTCATTGTACTTATCCCCCTTCAGGAAATCTTAATGTTTTTGGGTTTGGAGGAAATACATTTTCTAGGGACGTGCACCTTGTCTTTCTTGACATGATGTGTATCTGAGGAGACTTTGTGGGCGGGGCTGTGTAGAACATTGTGCATGAGTGGTGGAGCATTCTTAGGGGGCTGGCTGCAAGGACCAAGAAGGGACATCTGGCCTACTGATGATGGGGATAATAAAGGTGGTAGCGCAGGACTCGGCGTGCAGTGGCTTTTGCTGGATTAGTGCAGGACAACAATGGATTTGCTGGTTGGGTGAGTATCTTGTATGTGCTCAACCTAGCAGACCACGTAGAAGAGATTTCAGAGAAAACTAACCCATGGGGGGTTCTCATTAGGCTGCCTAGCTTTTTATGAAAATCACATTTATTTTTCATGCGACACATGCAGGGTAGCCCGTTGATTTTAGTGAGCTGCCCTACACGTGACAAACTTGGCAAACTAGCTGATGGAACATAATGCCAGTGTGAACTGGGACTTAAAGTGTATGAATATGGTAATACAATTATTTTAGTAAATATAAACTGCTAAATACCTTTTCTCACGAGCAGTTAGATCAGTCTTGTGACTTCTATCAGTGTCCAGCAAAGCACTGGTTAAAACTTGTAGGAGGAGTTTTCATTCTCCTCTGATTGTCCTATGAGGCTGCAGGACCCCTGACCCTGTAGGGACAGCGTTGATTGGCCCTGTGCTGTTCACGTGCACTCTTCCAATAAAAAAACACTCTCTAGTAATACACACCAAATTGAGCATGTGCAGCTTGCCCTCAAGTGGACTGTGGAAGAAGGGGAGGATCAGAGAAGTCAGGATCAAACATCCCTTTTTACACAATGCAGAGGATTAACCCCTTAGGTTCCACAGTGAGTATAACAAGCATGCTTTACTGTATATACAGACTGATTTTACTGTTGTGGGTTTAGTAACACTTTAAAGTGACTCTAAACGCTAAGGTTTTGAGTTAGGAATATATACATTATTAGATTTTAACCAAATTCCATTTTTTTTCTGCTGTGATTTGACTTTCTGTTAGAGGGTGTCTACATTCATTCTCCATGATTTCACTGTGTGTAGGTCTGTAGGAACATAGGCAACCTCTCTTGCCTGCTCCTGATATGGACTATGGCCTATGGGATTTGTAGTGTGCATAGAGCATGACCACAGCTATTGTTCACTGCTCAATCCGAGCTTTGGGAGCTCATGGAGAACATTACAGGGAGGCCCAGGGGTGTGTACATTTTTTAAAAAAACTACTTGTCCAGGGCTAAATCGGTGTCCCAATCTACTTGCCCTAATAAAAAAAGTTTTAACCAAAACCATATTAAACCACCTCCCGCCCGCGATATAGTAAAATGACGGGCGCAAGGTGGTTCTCTCGTTCTGGGAGGACGTCATATGACATCCTGGTGCGCTGTGTCCCTTGGACACAACGGATCACCGATCCATGGAAAGAGCCAAAGATGTCGGTTCTGTCATGTGATCAGCTGTGTCCAGTCAGAGCTGATCACATGTAAACAGGGAAATGTTGGTTATCGGCATTTCTCTCCTCTTGAGCTGTCACGCTGACAGCTCGAGAGAGAGAGAGCCGGTAATCGGCATCCCTCAGAGGGGACATGTACACTGATCATCAGATCACTGATCACTGATGATCAGTGTGCCCTGATGATCAGTGTAGCCCCAGCAGTGCCACCTGTCAGTGTCTATCAGTGCCAGCTATCAGTGCCACGTATCAGTGCCACATATCAGTGCCCACCAGTGCACATCAATGCCACATATCAGTGCCCATCTGAGCTGCCTTTCAGTGCCACCTATCAGTGCTGCCTTTCAGTGCCCATCAGTGATGCCTGTCAATGCCCATCAGTGCCACCCACCAGTGCCTCCTCATCAGTGCCACCTATTAGTGTCCATCAGTGCAGCCTATCAGTGCCCATCACTGCAGCCTCATTAGCGCACATCAGTGAAGGAGAAAAATCACTTATTTACAAATTTTTATAACAAAAACTAAGAAAAAAGTTTTTTTTTTAATTTTCAGTGGTTTTTGGTTTGTTTAAGAAAAAATAAAAAACCCAGAGGTTATTAAATACCACCAAAATAAAGCTCTATCTGTCACAAAAAAATGATAAAAATGTCATATGGGTACAGTGTTGCATGACCCGCGCAATTGTCATTCAAAGTGTGACAGCACTGAAAACTGGAAATTGGCCTGGGCAGGAAGGGGTATAAGTGCCCTGTAGGCTTGTGGTTAAATCTGCTTTAAGTAAAATCTGGGGCTTTTAAAAACAAAAGGGGCTTTATAGTGACTTAAACTTTTAGCATTGCGCTGTTTATCTCCTCCTCCCCTCCCTGCCTGTCTCCAGCACCACACCTGGGGACTAGCAGGGAAGGGAGAGACCTTGCAGTGTAATGAACACAGATTGGCTGCTCATCAGGAAAGGGGAGTGTCTGGCTTATCCTTTATCCCTTTCGCTGCCAGAGCTGTTTTTTTTTTTGCGTTATTTGCACACGTTTAAAAAATCGTTTCAGGCCTGAAGATGACACAAACCCCCCAAACATGATATATTTACTGAAATCAGAGATCCTGGAGAATAAAATAGGGTTAGTTCCAATTTTTGTATGTCACACGATATTATCACAAAGGTCTAGCAAACACAAAATTTCAGTAAAAAATACACTTTAAGTTAATTTATCCTTTATTTAGGTTAATAAATTATCCAATTTTTTTTGTAAAATATAAAAAGACGAAGTTGCAGCGAGTAAATAGATATCCAACATGTCAAACCTTAAATTTGCGTGCGCTCGTGAAACAGCAACAAGCTTCAGTACCCTATATTTTCTATAAGTGACACTTTTAAAGCCTCTTCTAGGTCATCAGAATAGTGTACGGAGGAGGTCTGGTGCTAGAATTATTGCTCTCATTCTGGCGTGCACGGCGATATGTAACATGTGTATCGCAATCCACGTTTTCATGTGTAGGCTCTCCAGCGCATGCTTTTACGTTTGTGCGTGCGTACATATGTGTGCCTTGAAAAATTTGGGGGTGTTTTTGGGGGTGTTTTAACTTTTTTTTTTTTTTTTGCATATTGGGGTCCCCTATGTGATGAACAGGTCCATGCAGGGTTAAAAGACCGTGCATGCCTCCCCTGCAAACTGAAAATTAACATTACATTCTTTCCCGGCCTCAATGACTGGGAATCTGTCGAACGGGGACCCGGAAGTGACATTACATCACTTCTGGATCAGGAGAAGAGGAGGAGGGGATGTGTCCGCTCTCCTTCTCCCTCCCCCTACACCACATCCCGTGGCACCCACCGAACCAGTCTCGGGCCCGCCGATGGGGGGCTGAATACAAATGCACACCACACTTTCCACATATTTATTTATAAAAAAAATGTTGAAAACCATTTATCATTTTCCTTCCACTTCACAATTATGTGCCACTTTGTGTTGGTCTATCACATAAAATCCCAATAAGATACATTTATGTTTTTGGTTGTAACGTGAAAAATTGAAGGGGTATGAATACTTATTCAAGGCACTGTTAGACATCCAACATTAGAGGTATACTGTATATTTTGGTAAGCTGTAGTGCACTGGATTGTGTGTAAATTACAGCTGTAATTGTAAAAAAAAAAAAAAAAGTGTATCTTTAGACAAAACTCTTTTTTTTGGGGGGGGGGGGGATGGGTAGAGTAGGGAAAAACCTACTTAACTTTTTTACTTATTCCGAAAATTTCCAGCACACCAGCAGAGATGAACCTCAAAACAGATCCACACTGATGCGACTTGTAATGCAAATTGCATGACAAGTCACACCCTACTGTTCGCAATGTAACTGTTCTAAATGGTGTAGCTCCGTTGGAGTCGCACCCATTTTGAAAGTAGTTCCTGCACTACTTTTAGTGATTTGGGTGCATAGAAATCTGTGCATGAATTCACACAGATGTCTTACAGATTGTACCTGAAAATTGCACTGACATGCGACTTTGAAATCATGAGACTTCAAGTGAAGTTGAATGATTTCAAGTCGTATTCAGTGTAAATCCAGGCTTATTGATGTTCCAAAGTGCAAAAAGAAACATAATGACCTTTCTTGCTTTTTATTGGAGTTTAGGTTCATCTCTGCTGATAAACTGGCTTTTTTTTCGAAATGGATTATAATAAGGTGTCACTGCACCCCATTTTTGTGGCGGTAAGGATGTGGTGCTGGTTGGATTGGGCTAAATAAGTTTTTATTACTGTCTGTGTTCACATGGGAGAGCTTCACCCCTCTATTTCTAGCAACAGTTATCAACAAAAAGGAAAGTGATGGGAAATCCAAAATGTTAGGTTTTTTTTCCCAAAACAAAGGGGCAATCTTCCCCTTTGTTTTGGGGAAAAACTTAACATAATAGGGAACAGCTGTCTTTAAGAGAGCATTTGCTCTCACTTTGGTCAATTTCCCCTATATTCCCATTGTAATTTTCCTTCTCTTTCTGTCCCAGAGACACAACAATGGTATGCAGACAGCAAAATGATGACATGGTAGCGGTATAATCCTTCCCTGCTCTAGTCAAAACTTAAAAAAAAAAAAAATTGAGGAAACATACACTTTAGGCTGCTTTCACATTGATCCATTTTTCTTCCGATTTTGCAGAAAAAAAAAAAAAGTGGAAGAAAAACGTGTGACCATGTATTCCTATGGAACTTTTCACACTGATCCGTTGTGGGTCAGGTGCATTTTTCAAAGTCCTGCTTGCTGTATTTTTGATGCAGGTTTGGTGCGGTAAAAAAACCCACCAAAAACACACCTCTTCTTTTTTTTTTTTAAATCATACTTACCTAGGTGTCCCCTGCCGCCTCTAAGGGTGAGAACTCACCTATCACATGACCGCTTAGTTCTCACCACTGCTCTGAGCAGAGAGTGGTGACTGTCAGTTGCTGCTGTCTGCCTTGCCCCCTGTGCTCACTGGTGCGCTGGGCTGTGGAGGGGGAAGGTACGCCTGGCTTAGGCTCTCAGTGGCTCATTGACAGGCTGAGCCAGGTGCCGCTCAGGACTCTGGGGTGGATCCTAAATTTAAAGTCTGGATCTTTCCCCAGCCTGGACCGGCTTCAGCTGAAAAGGGTCACAGTAGTGCAGAACAAACTGCACTCCTTGTGATCCATAGGAGAAGTACAGCCAAAAGAGCTTTTTCTGTACTTCAGCTGAAGGAGTCAGCTGAACAGGGTCACAATAGTGCAGAACAATGTGCACTCCTGTGATCCATACTAGAAGTACAGCCAAAAGAGCTTTTTCTGTACTTCTCCTTTTATTGTCATCTATTTTGTTTTATTGTGTGTATGGCGTTCAAGTCAAACTGGGACTTTGAAATTTATATCATAAAATAACAAATTTCAAGGAGTGGAAACTGCATTTATTTTTTAACATACTCCCCTGATACACTTATCTCAGTGTTTAAAGTGGTTATAAAGGCTCAAGGTTTTTTACCTTCATGCATTCTATGAAGGTAAAAAAAACCTTCTGTGTGCAGCCCTCCCCCCAATACTCACCTAAGCCCCCTCTCAATTCAGCAATGTGCACTGGTGTCTTGGCTATCCCAGGACTCCCTCTTCTCATTGGCTGAGACAGAAGCGGAAGCCATTGGCTCCCACTGCTGTCAATCACAGCCAGTTAGCCAATGAGAAGAAAAAGGGGGCAGGGCTGAGCTGCAGCTTCGTGTGCGAATGGACACATGGAGCAGCGGGTGCCCCCATAGCAAGCTGCATGCTGTGGGGGCACCAGACAGGAGGGAGGGGCCAAGAAGAGGGGGATCCAGGCTGCTCTGTGCAAAATCACTGAACGCAGCAGGTAAGTATAGCCATGTTTGTTATTTTTTCTTAAAAAAAACAAGCCTGGCTCCTGGTTTAGATCGGGATGATGTGTGGAAGCCCCTTTCAGTAGTAAAGTATCCACTAGGGACCGCGTGATACACTTAAAATTTTTGCATAGGGTATACTTTATCCCAGCTAGGCTTGCCTGTATGTATAGGAGTCAGTCTTCCTTAGGCTAGAGGTGCTCAGCACCTGCACCGGACTTTATGCATATTTTCTGGGAGTTCTCTAGCTTTAAACGCTATTGACAAGCAGTGTCGACTTGTGAAAGTCCAGTCACTTCTATTTCTGTACCATCCTCAATGCAATCTGCCTACTGAGTCTGGTAGAGCCATTAGCCACCACAAAAGCAATCTGCACACTTCTTACTATGCTAGGAAGTTAATAATTATTCTATTGTGGAAGAACTCTTCTGCACCAACTCTAGTGGCATAGAAATCCTTGGTGAATAAAGCAGTTCCATTTTATAAGGCTGCTTATTTAAGTACCCCCTACTTTGCTAAATTTGACAATGTATGGGGAGGATGGATTGCTTCCTCCGACACTGTCTCTTATTAAGCTGTGGCTAGAGCCCTGTATTAATCTCTGTTTATGTAGAGTATGAACATATTTGCTGGGTGTGGCAGTTGACACTGCATGGACTGCCATTCCCTGGCTTCATTGGGGCGAATTGCTCTATCCAATGTCTGTATCCATATGTCTGGGGGTTCCATTAAATATTTGATTCTGGTTGTATTGTGTGGGATGTCTTCCGATCATTTCATTCTTTGTGGGGGGGGGGGGGGGGATGGGTCCTGGGCTGTCACTTTGCCTGTCCTTGAAGCGGAGGGGAAGTTCCACTTTAAAGACTGGTCCCCCACTCCTTATTAAGGATTGACAGCTTTGGGGAGCGGGTACCTGAAATTGACAGGTACCCCTCCCACGTCCGCTGCGATCGCCTAGGTGATCGGAAGCAGAAGTTGTCCTCCTACCCTCCCTCCCCATAGTCTTCTGGGACATGTGACAGATCCCAGAAGATGACTGGGCCATTCACAAAGCGCAGCGCTACTCACACATGCGCAGTGGGCACCCGGCTGTGAAGCCACAAACTGTCACAGCCGGGTGCCCACACTGAAGATGCCGGCGCCTGGAACACCTGTTGGCTGGTGAAACTAGCTGCGGAGAGGACACCGCGGGATCATTGGAGAGGTGAGTGGCTGTTTTTTTAAAAGTCAGCACCTACAGTTTTTGTAGCTGCAGATTTTTATTTTATGACAGTGTGAGTGGAACTCCGCTTTAAGTATCCTACTATGGGTTGCACTCCACCAGTTATAGTGTGTGTTCCCTCCTGGTATGTAGCTGTGTATGTTGGGCTAGACAATGCCTATTGTTGTTTGTTTTTAAGGGGGTTGTTTTTTCTTTTTTTTTTTTTATTACTGTTTCTAAGCCCGCCATAGGTGGTTTTTGTTATTGTCTTTTTACTTGTTAAAATTTACTAATAAAAACAATTTTACAAAAAAACAAAAACAAAAAACAAGCCTTTAAAATCACCTTGACTGATGCCCGGAAAGGTTTGGCATAGAAAGACTTGTCAGCACCCCTGAACAATCCTAGGACAGCCTGTTTAACTTCATCATTGTGTCCACCGTTCCCACAGAAAGATTTGTCTCGTGTGCAATTTCACAACAGGTTATGCGTCCATTATGCAGTATCAGGAGTTCCACATGCTGAATGTTCACAGGAATGACTTCTGTGAGCTGGAAACCATCACAGCCAGGCTCCTCACTGATGGAAGTATGGTCACTGAAATGTTTACACCATTTAAATATCTTGCTGCGGCTGAGCGTTTCATCACCGTACTGTGCTTGAAGTCTTCTTTAGATATCCACGGATCTTCGTTCGCAAGAAACTTCCTCACCACCACCACCACCACATGCTGTTCCATGTACACACTAACACTGTTGTCTGCCATCTTGATTAACAACCTCTGGACTGGCCCGTAACATGTTTGCCACCTTTCAGTGATCGGACACACTTGTCACTTACTACTGCATGAAGTACTGCCACGCTAGCATCCCTTGTTATACCTGTAAAATTAAAATCCCTGTTTGACTTGAATGCCTTTCGTATGTATGTATGTGTGTGTATGTATGTGTGTGTGTATATATATATATATATGTATATGTATGTGTATATATATATATATATATATATATATACACACATACATACTTACACACATATTGTGGTGTTGTTTTAGTAGCATTATAGAGGTGTGTGTGTATATGTGTGTGTGTGTATGTATATATATATATATATATATATATATATATATATATATATATATATATATATATATATATATATATATATATATACACATATACCACTATAATGCTACTAAAACAACATCTCAAGTGTTATGACATGTCTGAATGCTGCCCTGTCCAAAAAAGAGGTGCACCTTTAATTGTTATTTCTAATCTGAAGATCATTTTATACTTGTATTTTTTGTGTGACATTTCTAATAGGTTGCTTTTGTTTTATGCATTTAATATAGAGAGAGGTGTGATTCGGAAGTCCAGAAATGTCCCGTAGAAGAGAAGAAAAGTCCCATGACACTCACAGGAGTCACAAGAGAAAGGAGGACGAGGCTCGAAGTCCAGAGAGCTGCAGTAGCAGCCATCATCGGGGAAAAGACCACAGTGACAAGAAAAGGAGGAGTAGCAGTAGTAGGAATCCTAACACGCAGGAAATCCAGAAGATAAAACATGTCGAGATTTTGTAAGTATTTAGAGTTTGTGAAACGACAATGAACTTTATATATAGTCACAATTTTTGTGAAGAGAAGGAAGTGAGAGAAATCCCCTTTTCGCCAGTCCCACCTTTTCCTATTCCAGTGACAACTCCATTTTTGTTTTCCCTCACACATTACAATGGTCGCATTGATAATATAGGGGGGCAAAGCTCCCCATCAGCAACACAGAAAATAATTAGATCCCGGCAGAGCGGGTTCTAACCCTTCCATTCTGTCCAAATCACAAAAACATTTTGGCTTTCAATAGATTTTTAGAGAATTACGGACAAAGCTTTTTTTATTCATAGCTTTCTTGGGTCACAGAAATGCATTTACTTTTGTTCTCCTGTGACCCAGAATCAGCCAACATCAGTCTAATGTCCACTGTCAGCTGACATCACAGAGCCACTCCAGGCCCTGGAAAGATCCCAACCTTATTGTCGGGATCCACCCAGATGCCTTGTTGACAGTGAATTCCAGGTCTCTGTGTGCAGCTGGGAGCCAAAGGCAGCTGTGCCCCCCATCCTCACCCAACTCTCCAGTGAGCCCTGCAGGGGCAGAGCAGGGAACAGTGACTGAGAACTGAGTGATCGGTGGTCACACAACCTCTCAGTTCTTGGGGTTAGGGATAGCAGGAGACAGCTGCAGCAAGGGACTGATGCTGCAGCATGGAGATGAGTATGTATTTTAATTTTTTAAACAATCCAAACTTCTCCTTTTAGGCTACTCCCAGGTGTAATAAGATTAGCAGACAGTGCATGTTTGTGATTATGTTGGAGACAAAATCCTTGGAAAAACATTGACACCTAACGAAATGTATCCAAAACATTGTATCCAAGTAATTTCCTTCAAGAATGATCGGTAGGTGTGTCCGCTGGTACCCATAGACAAAAGGTTCAGAGTTTTTTGCTGCCCACAATGAATCAGTTGGGTTGAAAGAATTTAGAATATTTCTTCAAAGTTGTGTTAACCACTTGCCCTCCAGAGGATTTACCCCCCTTCCTGATCAGGCCCTCTTTTCAGATACAGCACTGCGCTATTTTAACTGACAATTGCGGCCATGCAACACTGTACATAATTAAATTTATGTCCTTTTTTTTCCCCCACAAATGATGCTTTCTTTTGGTGGTATTTGATCACCTGTGCTTTTTTTTTTTTTTTTTTTGCGCTATAAACAAAGAAAGACCAACAATTTTGAAAAAAAAAGCAGTATTTTTGACTTTTTGCTATAAAACATATCCAGTAACAATATTTCAAGTTTTGTCATAAATATAGGCCAAAATGTATTTTTCTACATGTCTTTGCTAAAAAAAAAATCCCAATACATGTAAATTAATTGGTTTACGTGAAAGTTATAGCATTTACAAATGGCGGTATATATACTGGAATTTTTATTTTTTTAATACTTGTAGTGGCGGCGATCAGCGACTTATAGCGGGACTGCGGCAGGCATTCTGACACTGGTGGGGAACTGATTAACTGCCACTGACATCCCAATGACACTAATACAGTGATCAGTGCTCTCACCTCAGATATATGACCAAACCTTTCAGTGAGGTCATGAAAAGCCTGCATCCCTTTATGTGGACCAAATGTGGATGGAATGGTGTCCTGCTGAGTGAGATCCCTTTCACTCCTCTGTTGGCTCTCCTCCCACGGTGGAAATGTTAAAAGATTAATCAGATAATAGTGTTTTATCCTTTAAACAACCATTTATTGAAAAAAGGTATTACACTCACATGATCGATGAACAGAAAACGCCTTGTGAAAAAAGTGTAGCCTCCTGAACTTTGGCAGGGACGATATCCTTTCCCTGTGATGATTCCATGTGGCCAGTGGCGTAACGCGTAGGGGAGGCTCAACGCTTGATGGTTCCATACTGACACCAGCTGGTTATACATAGGATATCATTCCTGGCAAAGTTCAAGAGATTTCACTTTTTTCACAAGGCGTTTTCGGTTCATTGATCATGTGAGTGTAATATGGGAATGAGGTTAATGTAATCTACACAAACAAATATATGCATTATTGTTTATGATATTGTAAGATGACAACTACATAAATGGGAAGGAAAATGACAAGGGTCATGCATATTTTTTTAATATTATACAGGATTTATATAGCACCAACAGTTTGCTCAGCGCTTTACAATATAACGGGAGACAATACAAGAGGGATTTGAGGGCCCTGTTCCTTGGAGCTTACAATCTAGGAGGGGCTAGTGGTACAAAAGGTAGTAACTGTGGGGGATGGACTAGTTGGAAGAGTAGAAGATTCCAGTATTAGCTGAGGGCAGGATAGGCTTCCCTGAAGAGATAGATTTTCAGAGATAGCCTAAAAGTGAGCAGAGTAGGCGATAGTCTGATAAATTGGGGTAGAGAGTTCCAGAGGACCGGGGAAGCTCTGGAAAACGTCCTGGAGACAAGCATGGGAGGAGGAGACAAGGAAGCTAGAGAGCAGGAGGTCTTGCGAGGAGTGTAGAGTACAGTTTGGATGATATTTAGAGACAAGATCGGTGATGTAATTTGGGGCAGAGTTATAAATGGCTTTATATGTTATTGTTAATGTTTTTAATTGTATCCGTTGGGCAATAAGAAGCCAGTAGAGGGATTGGCAGAGAGGGGTGGCAGATACAGAATGGTTAGTAAGGTGGATGAGTCGGGCAGCAGCATTCATGATAGACTGAAGAGGGGATAGCCTGCGATTAGGTAGGCCAACGAGGAGGGAGTTACAATAGTCAAGGCGTGATATGACAAGGGAGTGAATAAGTTGCTTAGTGGTTTCCGAGGTTAGGAACGGCCGAATCTTGGAGATGTTGCAAAGGTGAAGTCTACAAGATTTGGACAATGATTGGATTTGGGGCTGAAAGGACAGATGGGAGTCTAGGATTACACCTAGTACCCTGGCATGAGGGGAGGGACTGATGATTGTGTTATTGATCTTGACGGAGAAGTCAGGGGAGGGGGCACGGGCTGGGGGGAATACTAAGAACTCAGTTTTGGAAAGATTGAGTTTGAGGAAGTGGAGTGAAATCCATGCCGATATGTCACTTAGTAGGTTAGTAATGCGAGAGGAGACTGAAGGGGTGAGGTGAGGGTAGAAAGATAGATTTGTGTGTCATCAGCATAGAGATGGTACTTAAAGCCATGGGAGTTTATCAGGTGACCAAGGGAGGAGGTGTAGATGGAGAAGAGAAGGGGTCCAAGGACAGAACCTTGAGGGACCCCTACAGAAAGAGGGAGTGAAGAGGAGGAGGCAGCGTTATAGGTAACGCTGAAGGAGTGCTGCAATAGGTAGGAGAACCAGGAGAGAGCAGAGTCTCTGAGGCCAAGAGAGTGGAGTTTTTTGAGGAGGAGGGGATGGTCAACCGTATCAAAAGCTGCAGAGAGGTCAAGTAGTAAGAGTACGGAGTAGTGGCCATTGGTTTTAGCAGTTAGTAGATCATTAGTGAGTTTTAGTAGGGAAGTTTCAGTGGAGTGTAATGTCGAAACTATTTCTAATATTATAAGGGATGGTAATTTATAGAGTGTGTTAAGGATTGAGACTGCCCAAAATTGAATATTATTATTATTATTATACAGTATTTATAAAGCGCCAATAGTTCGCTCAGCGCCGTACATTACAAAGGGGGACAGAACATGTGACAGAACAATACCAATACAATGTGATACACGAGGGGTTCGAGGGCCCTGCTCTTTCGAGCTTACAATCTAGGAGGGAGGGGATGGTGGCACAGGAGGAGATAGCTGTGGGGGATGGAGTGGTAGGAAGAGTGGAGGAGGTCGGCAAGTTAGCAGGGGGTGGGGTAGGCTTCCCTGAAGAGATGGGTTTTCAGGGTGCGCCTAAAGGAGAGGAGAGTAGGTGATAATCTGATGGGTTGGGGCAGGGAGTTCCAGAGGATGGGTGACACCCTGGAGAAGTCCTGGAGGCGGGCATGGGAGGAGGAGACCAGGGAACTAGAGAGAAGGAGGTCTTGTGAGGAGCGGAGGAGTGTGCGTGCTGGGCGGTACTTGGATATTAGGTCAGTGATGTAGTTCGGGGCAGTATGGTGGACAGCTTTGTACGTCAGCGTTAGGATTTTGAATTTGATCCGTTGCGCAATCGGAAGCCAGTGGAGGGATTGGCAGAGGGGGGTGGCGGAGACAGAGCGGTTGGAAAGGTGAATGAGTCTGGCAGCCGTATTCAGGATCGACTGAAGCGGGGATAGCCAGCGGCGAGGCAGGCCAGTGAGGAGGGAGTTGCAGTAGTCGAGTCGTGATATGATGAGAGAGTGGATGAGCTGTTTAGTGGTTTCTGGGGTTAGGAACGTGCGGATTTTGGCGATGTTGCGGAGGTGGAGTCTGCACGAGTTTGTTAAAGATTGGACTTGGGGCTGGAAGGATAGGTTGGAGTCCAGAATGACACCCAGTACTCTGGCCTGCAGGGCGGGTTTGATGGTAGCGTTGTTGGATGTGACAGAGAAATCAATGGGGGGGTGGTGTCCAGGCTGGGGGGGGGAAGACAAGAAACTCGGTTTTGGAGAGGTTCAATTTAAGGAAGTGGAGTGACATCCAGTCTGATATGTCGCTCAGTAGGTGTGTGATTCGGGCTGAGACCAAGGGGGTGAGGTGGGGGGTTGAGAGATAGATTTGTGTGTCGTCGGCATAGAGGTGGTAGTTGAAGCCGTGAGAGTGTATGAGTTGGCCAAGGGAGGAGGTATAGATGGAGAAGAGAAGGGGCCCAAGGACAGAGCCTTGAGGGACCCCAACAGAGAGGGGGAGTGAGGGGGAGGTGGTAGCATTATAGGTAACGCTGAAGGAGCGTTGTGACAGGTAGGATGAGAGCCAGGAGAGAGCAGAATCTCTGAGGCCGAGGGAGTGTCGTTTTTTGAGGAGGAGGGGGTGGTCGACTGTGTCGAAGGCCGCAGAGAGGTCAAGGAGTAGGAATATGTCCTTTAAAGGGAAAATTGCAGCAATTGGAATTATTCTTTCACTTCCTGTACCTCACATGGATTCTGTTGGTTCTTAGCAAGGCCCAGCGGTGCTTCAATCTGTATCAGTTTCAGTCTACCTGTATTGCTGAATGAAGAAAACATGAAATTTGTAACAGGCAAAAGTGATACCTTTTTGCCATGGCAGTGGCAAAAGGTACTTTGGTTCAGAGATAGTACATCCAATTTTTGTGATATAGTGTCTCATTTAATTCTTCATGTCCTACCAGTGGTGCATATGTTGCAGATAACTTCACCTTTCTTTATCGTACATTATGGGATGCAGAGAAGTACCTGATTCTTAGGCCACATCCACATGCGCGTGCCTGATTCTTAGGCCGCATCCGCATATGCGTGCTTGATTCTTAGGCCGCATCGGTACGTGCGTGCCTGACTCTTAGGCCGCATCCGCACGCGCGTGCCTGACTCTTAGGACACATCCGCACGCACGTACTTGATTCTTAGTCCACAGCCACATGTGCGTGCCTGATGCTTGGTTCCAGCATCCGCACGTGTGTGCCTGATGCTTGGTTCCGGCATCTGCATGTTCGTGCCTGATGCTTGGGCCGGCATCCGCATGTTTGTGCCTGATGCTTGGGCTGGCATCCACACGTGCATACCCGATGCCTGGGCTGCATCCATCCATGCATGCATACTGACTGCATACCTACACTTGCATGAGCTGCATAAATTGCTTTCTTACATGCATACTTGTGGGAACTGGATACTGGTATAGTTTGCATACTTACTTGCCTATGTACCTGCATAGCTGCATGCTTGCTTGTCTGTGTGATCGCATAACTGTAGACCAAGATGGCTATGGACAAATATCCCTGCAGGACTGCATAGTTGAGTGACAATATAGTTGCTGCCTTTTTTTTTTTTTTAAAGAGGTCAAGCCCTGGTTACTGCTTGGAGGGGAGACTGCCTGGGTATACCCTCCAGAGTCTAAGACGGCTGTGTTTTGAGAATTATCTCGGGCAGAAGATGCTAGGGCAGAGGTGATTTGAGACAGTCGACAGGTTTGCAGGCCGTAAACCAAACAGGAATGCGAGGTCTAGCCTAGATCTCAAGGCACTAGACATAGGTCTAGATGTCCTTCTGTTTAGGATGGGATTGGTCCGATTGGTGGTGGCTGCTCTGCAAGCGATAGATTTCGGGTGTCGATAGTTCTTAATGACACATATCTTCCTGTGCCAATGTTTTAGGCTTATCAGGGATTCTGTGATTGCTATAGAGAATCGCCATTTTATTGTTGTGGGGCACTGCCCTTCCAGCTGGCCACAGCTCTCCGAGTGTTTGCAAAGCTCCTAGCCCTGGTGCTGAGCTTGCTGAGGACACAGGGTGGTATCAATGTTATAATACCTGAATGTTCCTTTGCTCAGGGAGCAGTCGGTTTCAACTTTAAATGTAAGAAGCAATAAGTATCCTTCGGTACACCTCTGCATGAGGAAATGATATCTACATTGAAGTGGTGTCCTTTGTGCAGTTCCAGGCCAGGTCTTTTGTAGAGGAACATTCTGTTTGTCTGGATCATGAAGGTCCAAGCATTGGATTACTGGAGGGCTTTGGCCCCGGGTTCTTGCAGAGTCCAAATTGGTGGTTTGGAAGATAGTAACCATTGATGCCACTCTCTGGTTCGGGGACTGAATTAAAGGTGGCTACAGTTTAGGGGACATTTCTCTCCACAGGAGGGATTACTGCCCATCAATGTTTGGAACTTCAGGCAAGTATGCCTTGCGCTGGATTATTGGACAAACCAATTGCACAGGTTGTGGTCAGGGTTCAGTCCAACAATGCCATGTCAGTGGCATATATCAACCACCAGTGCAGCACCAGGGGTCATGCGGTTCAGGAAAAGGCGAACCACATTCTCTCTGGGGCAGAACAGCATGTGCTGTCTGTCGGCAGTACATATTCCAGGTATTGGAAACTGGCAGGGTTATTTTTCCCCAGAGGTCAGCAACTGATACTGGAAGAGAATGGTCCCTGCATCCCGAGACGTTCTCAGCAATCTGCCAGCGTTGAGGAAATCTGGATGTGGATCTACTGACTTCCAGGTTCTACAACAGGTTAGACAGATTGTGCTCATGTCAAGAGTTCCACTAGTGGGTAGATGCACTGATAACACCTTAGGGATTAATTCCCCCTAATCTATGCTTTTCCCCTGATTCAACTATTGCTGTGTCTTTTGTGCAGGGTCTGGGAGGAGGAGGTAATAGTGGTAGCCCGGCCTAGCCCAGGAGGACTTGATACACTGACATAGTGTATCTGGCAGGGGACACTCCTTTAACACTCCAGTCCACCCAGACCTATTGTCTGGGGTCCAATATTGTGTCCTGTATGTGATTGCTAGGATTGGAGACTTGGCTTTTTAAGCCCAATTCTGTTAAGATTGGGGGTCTTGTGTTCTGTTTTCTCTGCGTTTTGGAGTGCTAGAAAGCCTGCGTCAAGGCGCGTCCCTTACAGAACCTGGAGATCTTATTTGTCTGGTGGGAGGCCAGGAAGTGGCACCTGCAAAAGTGGGTGATTGTAAGGTGTTTTTTTTTTCTTCCAATCAGGAGGGGAAATTAAGTTTACCTTGAGTACCATTTAAAGTCAGATTTCATCTTTATCCATTTTTTCCTAAAGACCTTTGTTCTCACTCCTATGATTGGAACTTAGTGCAGGGTGTAACATGGATGGTCCCCGTCTGTCAGGCTGCCCTTGTGTCCATGTGACTTGTGACTTTGGCTGTCCTTGCAGAGGCTGCCTTTGGAGCCAATTAAATAAACTAATTTTTTTTAGTTTTTTTTATTAAAAATTAATAGAATATGAATTTAATTTTTTTTTAATAATTTTTAAAAAGGGACTTATTATTAAATTTTAATTATTTTTATATTTTTTAATTTAATTTTATATATTTATATTTTAAATGAAAAATAATAATTTTATTTTTTAATTTTTAAATTATTATATATATTTATTTATTATGTATAATCCTTTGTTGAAGGTAAAATATAATCCTTTGTTATTGTAAGGTGGCTTCTTTTACTATCACTTCAGCAGGAAAGAGTGTCAAAGCTGGTGGCCCTTTCATGTAAGGAGCCGTTCTTGGCATCATGATAGGATGATATTGCATCCTCATCCATCTTCCTGCCTACAATGTTTTCTTGGTTTTCACTTAAATCATGACAGTGTATTGATAGATGGTCTTCGGTTCATACATTCACAAGGTTTTACCAGGTGGTTGTCAGAGTCACTGAGGATTCTGCCTTTAGCCGCAGTATTTGTGAACAGCTGAATATCTCCTTTTGGAATGTTGGCAGTAGTTATTGTGTTGTCACCCACCCCTCAAAGTTTATTGCTTTGGGACGTCCCACATAGTCATTATTATGGCGAGCTCTGTGTCCCATGATGTGCAATTAAGAAAACTGGATTTGTTTCTACATAATTTTCCTGTAAAATCCATTTCTTGGAGTACATTACAGGACACAGAGGTCCCGCCCTTCTTTCTGGATTGTCATTGCTTGCTACAAAAACTAAAGTACTAAGTACTTCCTGTGTAGAAGGAGGTTATATAGATGGTTGGCCAGTGTCCATTCACCTATAGGTGGCATATAACCCATATAGGTCTTTATTATGGCCTGCTCTGTGTCCCATTGATGTACTCCAAGAAATGGATTTTACAGGTAAGTAAGTAGAAAAATCCAGTTTTTCACACATAAAGCAATTTTTGTCTTGGCAATGCGAATAATCCACAAGAACAGTGAACTGTTGGTGGGACTCCAGGATAGGTTCTGGAAACAGCTTTAAAGCACAGAAGATTTTGACACTGCTGTTGTGGCATCTACTCGGAACAGGAGAAGAATAACACACACACTAACTATTGCCAAATGTATTGGGACGCCTGCCTTTACACACACATGAACTTTAATGGCATCCCAGTCTTAGTCCGTAGGGTTCAATATTGAGTTGGCCCACCCTTTGCAGCTATAACAGCTTCTATTCTTCTGGGAAGACTGTCCACAAGGTTTAGGAGTGTGTCTATGGGAAGGTTTGACCATTCTTCCAGAAGCGCATTTGTGAGGACAGGCACTGATGTCGGACGAGAGGTCTGGCTCACAGTCTATGCTCTAGTTCATCCCAAAGGTGTTCTTTCGGGTTGAGGTCAGGGCCGGGTTGAGGTGCAGGCCATTCAAGTTCCTCCACCGCAAACTCGCTCACCATGTCTTTATGGACCTTGCTTTGTGCACTGGTGCTCAGTTATGTTGGAACAGGAAGGGGCCATTCCCAAACTGTTCCCACAAAGTTGAGAGCATTAAATTGTCCAATATGTCTTGGTATGCGGACACCTTAACAGTTCCCTTCACTGAAACTAAGGGGCCAAGCCCAACCCCCGAAAAACAACCCCACACCATAATTCCCCCTCCACCTAACTGTACACTTGGCACAGTGTAGTCAGGCAAGTACCATTCTCCTGGCAACCGCCAAAACCAGAAACGTCCATCGGATTGCCAGACAGACAAGCGTGATTCGTCACTCCAGAGAACATGTCTCCACTGCTCTAGAGTCCAATGGTGGCATACTTTATTATTATTATATTATTATTATACAGTATTTATAAAGCGCCAATAGTTCGCTCAGCGCTGTACATTACAATGGGGACAGAACAATAACAATACAATACAATGCAAAACATGAGGGGATCGAGGGCCCTGCTCTTTCGAGCTTACAATCTAGGAGGTCAGGCACCACTGCATCCGATGCTTTGCATTGCACTTGGTGATGTAAGGCTTCAATGCAGCTGCTTAGCCATGGAAACCCATTCCATGAAGCTCTCTATGCACTGTTGTTGTTCTAATCTGAAAGCCACATGAAGTTTGGAGGTGTTTAGCTATTGACTCTGCAGACAGTTGGCGACTTTTGCGCACTGTGTGCTTCAGCATACGCTACCCCCGCTCTGTCATTTTACATGGCCTACCACTTTGTGGCTGAGTTGCTGTTGTTCCCAGTTGCTTCCACTTTGTTATAATACCACTAACAGTTGACCGTGGAATATTTAATGGAAAGGAAATTTCACGGATGGACTTATTGCACAGGTGGCAACCTATCACGGTACCAAGCTTGAATTCACTGAGCTCCTTAGAGCGACCCATTCTTTCACAAATGTTTGTAGAAGCAGTCTGCATGCCTAGGTGCTTGATTTTATACACTTGTGATCATGTAGGTGATTGGTACATGTATATATGTATGATTGGAATGTTTCTTGCTAGCACAGAGAAACAATCACAATATACTCTTAATAAACCAATAACCAAAAAGTTCACCGCTGCCATAATCTTAAAAAAACCAAAACAAAAACATAATACAACATGGAATGTAAGGAAAAAAACTCAAATATAAAATAAAATATCAATATTTGTAAATAAATACACCCTAACATGAAAGTCCATAAGTGAGTCAAAATTTCAAATATATATAAGTGTATCCAGAGGCAAAGTCCCATTTAAGTGTATCAATTATTGAAAATCCATATGTGCCATGAAAGTCATATTCCAGCATAATCTTGTATATTCACAGTGAATAGTCCAGACTTCCATAATTAAGTGTTTCTGTGATAAAAACGAAGCTCATCCACATGCACTCCCTTGGTACTACCATCGCCAGTGGTAAGATGGGCTGCCTACCTTGAATCCAAACTCACAGTGTAAAAGAGGTCAAAAGCACTAGTAGTACAGCTTGTGCACCGATCCCGCAGAGCCATTCAGTATTCAGACACGAGTACAGTGCAGCACATATAAAATATAAGTGGCTGACATAGTGCTCACCATTGTTTGTTTTTATTGAAGAGAATAAAGGGTTCAAAACACTCACAGGAATAACAATATACAAGAGCTTGAAACAGAAATGTCAGATTTTGGAAGATGATTACTTAACAAAATACTTAGAAATGTGATGTTTGCTATCTCTGCAATATGTATTTTGTCACATGCTTTGAAAAATGATTTCCTTTTTGTCTTTTTTTTTTCTTTAGCTATGAGAAACCTCCACCAGGATTAATTAAGGTATTAATATATTTCTGTATGTGACTCATGCGTGACCCAACTCAGGCATAGTATATTTACCGATGTTCTTTACATAAGCTGCATTTGTTGCATGCTGATTTTGTTTGCAACGTAACAATGTTCCAGAAATTTTTTTTGGTTAGCAATTTAAAATTCAGCTGCTGACATACAAGCCAGATATTTATTAAAATATAACTAAAGGCAAAACCTTTTTCTTTTTTTTGTTTGTAAGCTTTGGATAGAGTGGAGATGGATTAGAACACCTGCTTGTTTTTTGCTGCTGTCTGTTCCCTCAGTAGGGAGATTCTCCCTCTCTATTTGTCCTGTTTAGCATTATCATTGAATGTGAAAGTAAAAAAAATCCCACATTTTGGGTTGTCCCCAGAGAAGTAGAAGAGGAGAAATCTTTCAATGGGAATTCCTCTAATTTGGAGAGATTTAATCTTACTTCCTGTTTGGCTATGGGACAGGAAGTGAAGGTAAATCTCCCCAATGGAACACAGGTGGCGAAAACAAATCTGACGGGTTATAACTCTTCCTTACTCCAAAATAGAAATATGTTTTGCCTATAGTTCTACTTTAAATACAAAAATGGCAAGATACTAGGCACTTTGGGGCATCTACAATTCTACTGCAGCTCATCTGAACTGATGTAAGCCTGGATTTCTTGCTGCCATTATATTCATGGTTAATCAATCTTAGATTTAGGGTGAAAGAATCTAATTTCAGCAAGAGACCTAAGCCAAAACACACCTGGGCTTCTTTATCAACCTACTATACCTTGCACCTGAACTTATGTTTGTAGTATACCCACTCATAGGCCATTTGATGACTTTAGGTTACATATTGACTTTTTCCATCACTTCCCTTACTTTCTTATTCATTTGTTCAGAAAGGATATGAGTGAAATAGTGCTTGTTATTTAAAACTTTGTTATGACATAGGTGAAGATCAGATGACATTCCTAGTTTAATCATCCTTAGTAAAGTTTCTGTAATATCATGATGTGCATCAAACCACATTATAATGGTTTCAGTTATAAGTAAATATTGTATTTTAGGCATGCAAGGATTGTTGGGGAGTGTTTAAATGTATTAGTGGGTTTAAATACACTCACAAATTGAAGCCAACCTCCAGCATACACTTTGTAATCAGTTACAGCAGCGTTTTTCAACCACTGTGCCGCGGCACACTAGTGTGCCGTGAGATATTGTCTGGTGTGCCGTGGGAAAAATTGCAATCTGTAACATGTGGCCTCGGCTCACAAATAGACCAATCATTAGAACAGCAATGGGCAAACTACAGCCCGCGGGCCGTATACGGCCCGGCGGACCTTTTAATCCGGCCCGCGGAGCGTGATACTGTCAGGATGATCTGTCCCCCTCGACGTATCTGCGCATGTGCCGGAGATCGCCGATCGGCTGCTAATGCCTGAAACTGGCACATGCGCAGATACGTCGAGGGGGACAGATCCTCATAGGAGACAGATTTTCATGCTACACCGGAACGGAGAGAGGAACGCGCGGAGCAAAGGTAAGTGAATTGACACAGGGGGGGCTTGGGGACTTAATATGGGGGATGAATTACTATGGGGGATGAATTACTATATGGGGGATGAATTACTATAGGGGGGATGAATTACTATGGGGGATGAATTACTATATGGGGGATGAATTACTATGGGGGATGAATTACTATATGGGGGATGAATTACTATAGGGGGGATGAATTACTATAGGGGGGATGAATTACTATATGGGGGATGAATTACTATAGGGGGGATGAATTACTATATGGGGGGTGAATTACTATGGGGGATGAATTACTATGGGGGATGAATTACTATATGGAGGATGAATTACTATGGGGGATTAATTACTATATGGGGGATGAATTACTATGGGGGATGAATTACTATATGGGGGATGAATTACTATGGGGGATTAATTACTATGGGGGATGAATTACTATATGGGGGATTAATTACTATGGGGGATGAATTACTATGGGGGATGAATTACTATATGGGGGATGAATTACTATGGGGGATGAATTACTATATGGGGGATGAATTACTATATGGGGGATGAATTACTATGGGGGATGAATTACTATGGGGGATGAATTACTATGGGGGATGAATTACTATATGGGGGATGAATTACTATGGGAGATGAATTACTATATGGGGGATTAATTACTATGCTTACTATGGGGGAATATTACTATACTTACTATGGATGACACATACACATCATTCATCTACTCTTGGTCCGGCCCCCGGGTCCAATATATGAAACCCATTGCGCCCTCAAGTCAAAAAGTTTTTCAATAAATTTTTTTAACATTTTCTAATGGTGGTGTGCCTCGTGATTTTTTTCATGAAAAAAGTGTGCCTTTGCACAAAAAAGGTTGAAAAACACTGAGTTACAGAAAACAATTGTTTTCCTTTTGGGATAAAGGTTTTACATAAATATAAGCTGATCATTGTAAGCACACCTACCAGTGTTAAAAGATATGTCTCATCTCTGCAACTGATACATTCTGCTGGAGAGCTTGTGAGTTTGAAAAACAACACTTACTGCCTGGATCACCAGATGAAAATATAAGGCGGAAAGCCTAAAAAGAAAATGCAGCCATCACACCTAAGAATTGATAAGCTGCAATATAATGTTTGCTTTTGGGTTTAATACTGCTTTAGTCACTGGTCACACCGCTGCGATTGAAAATCGTGCAATTTGTGTGCAATTTTAGCACGATTTCTGAAGACTTTATTGCTACTTGTGAAGATTTTCAATGATTTCTTGCAATTTGCAGTGCAATTTCCATTATATTCTATGTATGTGAAATCACAACAAAACTGCAGAAAAAGTAATGCAAAAACTTTAGAAATCATGCTGCAGCAAATTTCAAATGTTAAGGTACTGATATTCACATTCATTAGATGCGATTTCTAGTGCGATTTTCAATTCCCAAATCGCACCGGTATGACCAGCACTTAAGGGCATCCATATGCTAAATGTGTAACTATACAGTGTATAGAATAGGAAAAAGATCAGTATAGGCCTCTCTTTAAAGCTCAATTCTAGAGTATTATTGCAGAATTAAAAGATACCGTTTAGTGCCATAAGGTAATCATTAAAAAAGTTAATGTACTTTTAAATGCAGCTGTTTTAAATGCCTAAAATTATATTTTATATCAGCTTACTGTAATAATTTGCATAGCAGAAATAATACTGAGTGGAGGAAAACAAATGTCAGACAGCAGGCTGTTTTGCACTTCACAGTACCATGGTGAATGTACTTGAGCAGGGTAAAGCCCTGGGATGACCTTGTGATTTTTTTTTTTTCACACAATTTATTTAGCTATATTTTGTATAAAAAGGGAACTATTAACAACATAAAAATAAGTGATAAAACAAGAGAAAGGAAAATTTTAGTTCGCGTTAGTGATCAGATATAGAAAGTCTACATCAAAAAACCTAGATAAGCCAATGTCAGCTGGAGACAAAAATTGGTTCAGGAACTCTGATCAAATTATATTTTAGGGAGTAATTTATACAGAAATCCAGGCACTCCGAGGGTTCCCTTTTCAGAGCTGAGGTTCTGAGCAAATACTCTCCTTGCAATTAGCCCATTTCTCCTACCTTTGCTCATTTCTGGCACTGTAGACTTGAATGTCTTTGTACCCCACCGTGTGCTGTGGCTCCATTCTCCAACTCTTATGTCATTGTGTACGGTAGGGTGTGATGGAGGACCCAGGCATCAGACACTTCCAGAAGTGTCAAATAGTGAACATTATGAAGGTGGCCACAGTGCTTGAAAAGGAATGAAGGTAGGAGATTAGGGCCACCAGAGAGTTCAGTATTATACCTCTCCTATTGCAGGGAACTTTAGCTGCATTTGTTTACAGCTTGACAGTCGCTTTAAGATTTCAAAGGTCTTTGGTTCTTAAGATCCAAAATATGTAGAATAGTTGCCTTGCTTCCTCCTTTACCTATAAATGGCAGGATCACATTTCTGTTTTTTTTATTTTACTTAGGAGGATGAACCTAAACCAGAAGACTGCATACCAGACTTACCAGGCAATGAATATGCCAGAGATTTCCTAGCTCATGCTCCTACCAAGGGTTTGTGGATGCCATTGGGCAAGGAAGTTAAAGTAATGCAGTGTAAGTTACATGGAGAACTGTTTGGGGGGTTTCTACTGTACTTATAGACTTATCCAGTTCTTTTCCTGCCTCTGATCTCAAGAATTTGCCCAGGGGGACAACTTTTATTCCTGCAGTGATGCTACATTTCATAGAATGATAATAAGCAATGCCCTATGTGTTTGTGACTTTAAGACTTTAGGATGTATTCTGCTGAAGGGAAAAGGTGGTCACATGGGACATAGCTGATCAAATAAGTAGTGGGGCTTGTGCTATATAGTAAATGGTTATTTTATTATATCTACAGTCAGGTCCATAAATATTGGGACATCGACACAATTCTAACATTTTTGGCTCTATACACCACCACAATGGATTTGAAATGAAACGAACAAGATGTGCTTTAACTGCAGACCGTCAGCTTTAATTTTAGGGTATTTACATCCAAATCAGGTGAACGGTGTAGGAATTACAACAGTTTGCATATGTGCCTCCCACTTGTTAAGGTACCAAAAGTAATGGGACACTTGGCTTCTCAGCTGTTCCATGGCCAAGTGTGTGTTATTCCCTCATTATCCCAATTACAATGAGCAGATAAAAGGTCCAGAGTTCATTTCAAGTGTGCTATTTGCATTTGGAATCTGTTGCTGTCAACTCTCAAGATGAGATCCAAAGAGCTGTCACTATCAGTGAAGCAAGCCATCATTAGGCTGAAAAAACAAAACAAACCCATCAGAGAGATAGCAAAAACATTAGGCGTGACCAAAACAACTGTTTGGAACATTCTTAAAAAGAAGGAACGCACCGGTGAGCTCAGCAACACCAAAAGACACGGAAGACCACGGAAAACAACTGTGGTGGATGACCGAAGAATTCTTTCCCTGGTGAAGTTGGCCAGATCAAGAACACTCTCCAGGAGGTAGGTGTATGTGTGTCAAAGTCAACCATCAAGAGAAGACTTCACCAGAGTGAATACAGAGGGTTCACCACAAGATGTAAACCATTGGTGAGCCTCAAAAACAGCAAGGCCAGATTAGAGTTTGCCAAAAGACATTTAAAAAAGCCTTCACAGTTCTGGAACAACATCCTATGGACAGATGAGACCAAGATCAACTTGTACCAGAGTGATGGGAAGAGAAGAGTATGGAGAAGGAAAGGAACTGCTCATGATCCTAAGCATACCACCTCATCAGTGAAGCATGGTGGTGGTAGTGTCATGGCGTGGGCATGTATGGCTGCCAATGGAACTGGTTCTCTTGTATTTATTGATGATGTGACTGCTGACAAAAGCAGCAGGATGAATTCTGAAGTGTTTCGGGCAATATTATCTGCTCATATTCAGCCAAATGCTTCAGAACTTATTGGATGCCGCTTCACAGTGCAGATGGACAATGACCCAAAGCATACTGCAAAAGCAACCAAAAGAGTTTTTAAGGGAAAGAAGTGGAATGTTATGCAAAGTCAATCACCTGACCTGAATCCGATTGAGCATGCATTTCACTTGCTGAAGACAAAACTGAAGGGAAAATGCCCCAAGAACAAGCAGGAACTGAAGACAGTTGCAGTAGAGGCCTGGCAGAGCATTACCAGGGATGAAACCCAGCATCTGGTGATGTCTATGCGTTCCAGACTTCAGGCTGTAATTGACTGCAAAGGATTTGCAACCAAGTATTAAAAAGTGAAAGTTTGATTTATGATTATTATTCTGTCCCATTAATTTTGGTCCCTTAACAAGTGGGAGGCACATATGCAAACTGTTGTAATTTCTACACTGTTCACCTGATTTGGATGTAAACCCTCAAATTAAAGCTGACAGTCTGCAGTTTCATTTCAAAATCTATTGTGGTGGTGTATAGACCAAAAATGTTAGAATTGTGTCGGTGTCACAATATTTATGGACCTGACTGTACATTTGTTTATCAGATATACTACATAATTTGGGCACTTTTTATGTTTTTACTTGTACAAAAAAAACAAACGAAGAGAAGCAGACAGTCCTCTAGTAGCCTACAAAGTGCTTCCAACTAGCACATTAAATAGACACTGTTGAGAAACAATTAATTTCAACAAAAATGTTCCCATAAAATTATACGTGCATTTAACATTATTGGCATGTTATTTACCTTTAAAAGGCTCCCTTGTGTAGACATACAAAAGACCTGAGACTGCATCTGGGCCCTGCCATCTTGGATGAAATATAAGCAGCCCAAGTAGGACCAGAGCTGTTATTCTAGTCACTCTATAGCAAATGTGGCAAACACAAGGCCCGTGGGCTGCTCTCTTTGTAGCGCACCCCTAGACCCTGCACTCTGTGCGTAGCGCACCCCTAGACCCTGCACTCTGTGCGTAGCGCACCTAGACCCTGCACTCTGTGCGTAGCGCACTCCTAGACCCTGCACTCTGTGCGTAGCGCACTCCTAGACCCTGCACTCTGTGCGTAGCGCACTCCTAGACCCTGCACTCTGTGCGTAGCGCAGCCCTAGACCTGAACTCTGATAGAGAGAGTAGATACATAATCTTACAGATACAAGCCCGCATACTGCAGATGTGGCCCCTAGACCCCCTGCAGCCACTGTAAGAAGGGGAGGGGAGCTGTTATTCTAGTCACTCTATAGCAAATGTGGCAAACATAAGGCCCGTGGGCTACTCTCTTTGTAGCGCACCCCTAGACCCTGCACTCTGTGAGTAGTGCACCCCTAGACCCTGCACTCTGTGCGTAGCGCACTCCTAGACGCTGCACTCTGTGCGTAGCGCACTCCGAGGCCCTGCACTCTGTGCGTAGCGCACTCCTAGACCCTGCACTCTGTGCGTAGCGCACTCCTAGACCCTGCACTCTGTGCGTAGCGCACTCCTAGACCCTGCACTCTGTGCCTAGCGCACTCCTAGACCCTGCACTCTGTGCCTAGCGCACTCCTAGACCCTGCACCTGCACCCTGCACTCTGTGCGTAGCGCACTCCTAGACCCTGCACTCTGTGCGTAGCGCACTCCTAGACCCTGCACTCTGTGCGTAGCGCACTCCTAGACCCTGCACTCTGTGCGTAGCGCAGCCCTAGACCCTGAACTCTGATAGAGAGAGTAGATACATAGTCTTACAGATACAACTGGCCCTTTGAGGGCAACCATACTGCAGATGTGGCCCCTGATGAATTTGACACCCCTGCTGCAGCCACATAAAAGTTTATGTAAGAAGGGGAGGGGTGGAGGACTCGGGCCAGCAGAGAAAATAATTAGACCCTCCCAGAAGAGGAGAGGAATGTCACCTGCTAGAAGGGAGGGGCTGTGCCAGGAAACTGACTTTTTGGTGTAGTCACATTTTCTACAAACTCAAAGGTACATTGCAAGTGAATAAAAATAGTTTTTGGAAAGGAAAAAAACACTGGAAGTCAGCACTTATAATACTTAATTTTTATGTGCTTTACCTGCATTTTTTTACATTGGTTAGAGTCCCTATGAATGAAAGTAGTGATTTGTATAGTACCTTGGAAACCAGTCTATGACGTGGTATTAATATTAAAGTTCACATAAACAATAAAGTCTACATAACCACAGTATATCGTTATAGCACTTTGTGTGAATGGGATTTATTTTAGTGTCTCCTGATATTTTGTCTTTTAGGTTGGAGGTGTAAACAGTATGGGCACAGAACTGGTGATCGTGAGTGTCCCTTCTTCATCAAAGGCAATCAGAAGATTGAGCAGTTCAGAGTTGTAAGGCTAGAGTTTTTTCATTATTTGGTGATATTAGCTTGCCAAAAATACTTTTTGTTTTTTATGCAAATCATAGACAAAGAAACAAAACCTAAAGAACACACCTTTTTCTACATTGAAAAGTGTTACTGTAATAAAAAAAAACGATTTAATTCTATAATTTTTCCTGTTTAAAATGACACTAAAATTCTGATTGTGGTAGAAAGCATTGCAAATTTTGTTACAATTAAATACAATATAATTAAATAAAGGGTTTTTCCCTTTTTTTTTCCTCTTTTTTTATGCAACCCTAAATAAATTATAAACAAAATGAAGCAAAATGAAAAATATAAGCAAAGAAAAAATTTCAGGAAAATAACAGTGAAGTGGTAGGATGGTTACTTTATCTGAGGTCATATGCAGATTAAAGCTCTGCCCTTTGATCTGCAGAAAATTGGAGCAGAGTTGATACAAAAGTAACAATTATGTTATTCAGTATCTCTGTTTCCTGAGTCTGAACTTTGTGTATAGACCCATTCAGTGTCAGAATATCTGTTCTTTGACAGCAGTTGCTAAAATATCTGCTGTATTTACACAGCAACTGAATTGCCAGCAAATGGGGGAGGCCAGGACAAGCCCTGTGTACGTCAAAGAAGTTTTCTTGAGGGTTTGTAGCACACACAGTGTCCACAACTGGTTAATTGCATTTGTTTTATAACCATTATTAACCCTTTGGTTCCCAGCCCTTTAACCAATTCAATACGGGCAATTTTACCCCTTCCCCCCCCGGCCATTTTTCAGGTTTCGCGCTCTCACACTTTGAATGACAATTGCGCAGTCATACAACATTGTACCCAAACTAAAATGTTATCATTTTCTTCACACAACTAGAGCTTTCTTTTGGTGGTATTTAATCACCGCTGGGGTTTTTATTTTTTGCTAAATTAACAAAAAAATACCAAAAATTTTGGAAAAAAAGTTTTTCTTTGTTTCTGTTATAAAAGTTTGCAAATAAATAATTGTTCTTCATAAATTTAGGCCAAGGTGTATTCTGCTACATGTCTTTGGTGAAAATAACCCAAATTAGGATGTATTTTTCAGTCTGTAGGAAAGTTATAGAGTTCACAAACTATGGTATAGATCTGAATATTGATCAATCCTGAAGTACTGACAGCCAATCTAATTTCTTGAGTACAGATATCCCCCAAATGACAACTTTTTGCAGAGTAGACAGTCCGACGTACTTCATAAGAGGCATGGCGAGTTTTTTGAAGTTGTATTTTTTTTGTCATTTTTCGGAAAATTAAAAAATTAAACAAAATTAGTTTCACTATTTTTTTTTTTTTTTACATATTGTCACCAGTGCAGTCCAGCGTCATCATATAACTGGCATGGCGGTGATCAGGGACACTGGCTGGTGACAGTATGAAAAAAAAAAATATATATATATTTTTTTTTATTTTTTTTTATTTTTTATTAACATTTTTTTTTCTTTTAAGATTTTTTTTTTCATATTTCACTATGACCAAAGTAGTACAATGTTACCATAGTAACATTGTACTACTTTGGGGAAGTGATCAGTATTTTTTTTTTTTTTTTTTTACACAATTTGCTTATAGCAAAGAATTACTTTGCTATAAGCAAGCATTTACCTGAATGACATTGATTCATTCAGGGTTTTTTTTTTTTTTTTTTTTTTTTTTTTGTGCTTAGCTGTGATTTGGCCACAGCTAATCACATGACATGTGCATGTGATTAGCTGTGACCATTCACAGCTAGGCAGTAGTATACAAGGGATGGCATGAATGAAGCCATCCATTGTATACAACTGTCATGTGACCTGCTGTGATTGGTCACAGCAGGTCACATGGTACCGGCAACGGGGCTGATACTCAGATCTGTCATCAGCCCTGTCCGAGGTACACGGCCGGTGACAGATCGCGCCGCTGCGCCGCTCTGCAGGAGCGCAATCTGCGCATGTGTGGGAGGACGCCATATTGCGTCCATCCGGAACGCTGATGACATTTGCCGCCCGCCATTCGGCCATAGGGCGGGCGGCAAATGTTTAAGAGTTTCATAAATGAGGAGGCGGGGTTTTAAGGTCATATAACCGCTGTGATTTGCTGTCATGGCGGTCACATGATCGGGAAAGGTCCCGATCGGAAGAGATCGGGACCTTTCTGTGAGTACCGGACATGTGTGCTGGGAGCGAGCAGAGCACGCGCTCTCAGCACATATGTTTTTGTTAATTGCACGCAAATGTGCGGCCACTCGGCTTCAAGGCCCAGACGCAGGGAGGCCGCACATTTGCGTGCGGCCAGTGTGAAGAGGTTAAGGAGGTTGTAAACCACTGAAAAAATGAACAAAGCATATCCACATACACTGTGTACTTGTCTCAATCCATAGTGCCGAGTGTGGATCCTGGCTACTGTCTTTTTCCTTTATCGTCATGTATAACATCTGACAGTCTGTCCTGAGAACAAGCAATCCATGGTGACAACAATCTCCCACCTCTAGCACACAGCAGGTGATTGGCAGCCTCAGGTGTGCATGCTTCCCCGTGAGACTGTAGAGGGGAGTATGTTCTTTTCCTCCAATTAGGTCTCAGATTACACTCTCACTGTTGAAAGACAAACAGAGCGCACAGGCCTAGTGCATTATCCCAAGAGAAATGTATTAAAATGCTGATAAAAGTTATACTTATAAACTGTATATAAAAGCCTGTATCACAAACCTTGATATGCAAGCTTTCATATACTGTTTGTGAGTATACCTTTTATCAGCCTTTTATGAAATTTCTTTTGGGATAATGCACTAGGCCTGTGTGCTCTCTGTTTGTCTTTCTACAATTATGGTTCGGACTACCCCAGTAATATAAGAGAGAAGCAAGGCCTTTGCTTATCCGTCAAACGATTTTCTAATATCCACATCAAAGAACGGGCTCTGGTCATCCTCACCTATGCGCAGGAATATTTGACATTTTCATCAGATTACACTCAGCTTTGTGCTGTGCAGTTTGTGACATCAGATCCCTGTCCCCTGCCTTTTGGAAACTAAGAAATACCATCTGATCTGTGTACTTTAGAAGCTCTGGAGGAGAGAAGGCTGCAAACGGCTCCCCAGCTTATGTGGAAGAATTTGCTTCATCATTGTTTAGCACCTGAAGCTAGTCACTTCAGAGGGATTATGTATGGGTGTATCACTACTTTAATGTATTTTCAAATTCTTTTTTTTTTTTTTTTTATTTTGCTTTTAAAAAAATACACATATATTTTTCATGCTTTTTTATTTTAAATGCAGTGATTTTCCTGTGTTGCATTGGAACACTGAGTGTGTATACTATTTTTTTGTAGGCTCACGAAGACCCAATGTATGGCTTAATAAAGGAAAAGGAAAATCAAGAAAAACAACTGAGGTAATGAGTAAATAGAAACTGGGCCATCTTTCTTGTACCCTGAAATTGAATAGATCTTCTTTTCTCATTATCTTTTAAAATGTATATACTGTTCTAAAGTCCATCGTATATGGTGTTGGAATTTTTAAAACGGGCCATATGCTAAGGACAGCATTCATGGTATTCTACAGCATGAGCAACGGTGATTTTGTGTCATTGCCCAAATATGTATATCAAAATAGTGCAGCGCTGTTGTTTATGTGACTACCCAAATAAATAAATCAAATATAATAAATCAATATGAATATGTGACTACCTCAAAAAAAATATAATATATTAAATCAATACACAAAACATACACAGTGCTAAATAAAATACCACGTGCAATAATATGAAAGAAATGCCCTTCAAATACATGTACACAGTGCTAAATAAAGTGCCACGTGCAATAATATGAAAGAAATGTTCTTCAAATACATGTACACAGTGCTAAATAAAGTGCCACGTGCAATAATATGAAAGAAATGTTCTTCAAATACATGTACACAGTGCTAAAGTGCCACGTGCAATAATATGAAAGAAATGTACTCCAAAACATGTACAATAAATAAAGTGCCACGTGCAATAAAAAGAAATGTTCTTCAAATACATGTACACAGTGCTAAATAAAGTGCCACGTGCAATTTTATAAAGAAAATGTCCTTTAAATACATGTACACAGTGCTAAATAAAGTGCCACGTGCAATTTTATAAGAAAATGTCCTTTAATGCATGCACTCAGTGCTGCATAAAGTGCCACGTGAAATAATATAAAAGAATGTCCTTCAAGTGACAGTCCAAAAGAAATAATGGGTGGAGAAATTCCAAAACTTGCTAGATCCAAAAAGTGTTATTCCCCCGTGCAAAATCCTCCACCATTATGCACTCACCAAAAACATGCTGGTCTTTAGCCTATAATACAGCAAACTCAGAAGTTCTGTTTCACTCTCCTTGAAACCACTGATGACGTGACCAAGAGCAATTTATTACTTAACTTTAGATACAAATGTCCAAAAATATAGGCGGTAGCAAAGCAGCAGCGATCACTGGGACTCTATATCTGCACTCTCTCCTCTGTATGGAGAGCTCTGCTTCAGTCTTCACTCTTCATTCACCATTCTCTGATTTCACTCTCCTCTCCATGCAGAGGAGAAGGAGAGTGAAATCAGAGAATGGTGAATGAAGAGTGAAGACTGAAGTAGAACTCGTCACTCTGGTGAGTGCATAATGGTGGAGGATTTTGCACGGAGGAGTAACACTTTTTGGATCTAGCAAGTTTTGTAATTTTTCCACAGATTTTCTTTTGGACTGTCACTTGAAGGACATTCTTTAACCATTTGCCGCCCGCCCTATGGCCGAATGGCGGGCGGCAAATGTCATCAGCGTTCCGAGTGGACGCCATATGGCGTACTCGCGCACATGCGCAGATTGCGCTCCTGCAGAGCGGCGCAGCGGTGCGATCTGTCACCGGCCGTGTACCTCACGGCCGGTGACAGATCTGAGTATCGGCCCCGTTGCCGGTACCATATGACCTGCTGTGACCAATCACAGCAGGTCACATGACAGTTGTATACAATGCTTCATTCATGCCATCCATTGTATACTACTGCCTAGCTGTGAATGGTCACAGCTAATCACATGCACAAGCACAAAAAAAAAAAATGAATCGATGTCATTCAGGTAAATGCTTGCTTATAGGAAAGTAATTCTTTGCTATAAGCAAATTGTGTAAAAAAAAAAAAAAAAATACTGATCACTTCCCCAAAGTAGTACAATGTTACTATGGTAACATTGTACTACTTTGGTCATAGTGAAATATGAAAAAAAAATCTTAAAAAAAAAGAAAAAAAATTTAATAAAAAATAATCAAAAAAATTAAAAAAAATATATAATTTTTTTTTTTTCATACTGTCACCAGTCAGTGTCCCTGATCACCGCCATGCCAGTTATATGATGACGCTGTACTGCACTGGTGACAATATGTAAAAAAAAAAAAATAGTGAAACTAATTTTTTAAATTTTTCGAAAAATTATGACAAAAAAAAATACAACTTCAAAAAACTCGCCATGCCTCTTATGAAGTACGTCGGACTGTCTACTTTGCAAAAAGGGGTCATTTGGGGGATATCTGTACTGTTCTGACATTCTTGGACCTCAAGAAATTAGATTGGCTGTCAGTACTTCAGGATTGATCAATATTCAGATCTATACCATAGTTTGTGAACTTTCCTACAAACTAAATAATACATCCTAATTTGGGTTATTTTCACCAAAGACATGTAGCAGAATACACCTCGGCCTAAATTTATGAAGAACAATTATTTATTTGCAAACTTTTATAACAGAAACAAAGAAAAACGTGTTTTTTTTTTAATTTTTGGTCTTTTTTTGTTAATTTAGCAAAAAATAAAAACCCCAGTGGTGATTAAATACCACCAAAAGAAAGCTCTAGTTGTGTGAAGAAAATGATAAAATTTTAGTTTGGGTACAATGTTGTATGACCGCGCAATTGTCATTCAAAGTGTGATAGTGCTGAAACCTGAAAACTGGCCTGGGCAGGAAGGTGTAAAATTGCACGGTATTGAAACGGTTAATATTGCACGTGGCACTTTATGCAGCACTGAGTGCACATATTTAAAGGACTTTTCCTTATAATATTGCATCTAGCACTGTGTACATGTATTTGAAGGACATTTCTTTCATATTTTTGCATAAGGCATTTTATTTAGCACTGTGTACATATTCTGTGTGTTGATTTATTATATTTGATTTATTTGGGTAGTCACATATACAACAGCGCTGCACTATTTTGATAAACATATACTATTTGGACTCTAGCTCTCACCTTTTCTATTTATTATTGCCTGTTTAACAAAGTAAATGCAGAATGACAAAACAGAGCTGTCCTCTACCTGTTATGTGTAGTACGTCAGAGGTGTGTGAGTCACTGGCTATACTGAATTTCAGATCTTTTCCGTAGGTTAAACCACAAACATTCATATACTTCCTCTGTGTATTATCTGCTCAGTCAAAGTAGACATACAGTACTTAGGGGGGAGAATTATAGGTGTCTATGGTTGGCCATAGGTGCCTCCATATTTATTTATTTTTTTGATCAGCCAAAGAATTGATCTGAAAAAAAGAACGGATTCCTCAATCCACACATGCGAGGTGGATGGAATATTTCTCCCCAATGTGCCAATATATTCTGACAGTGGGATTCCTCCACTATCAATACACTGATTAGTGCTACAGCTGATTTTCTGCAAGTTGCTGACTGACAAAAGTTTTTCAAAATTCTTATTCCACAGAAGCCGATAGATCAACTGTTGAGTGGGAACAGCCATAGGTGGATCAAAATTGGGTCATTCCCTGCTGAATTGGCCATGTATTTGAATTGAAATCTAGGGGCATCCTTAGACCAACCTTTGTTTGCTTATGGGCAAAAATTTTGTTTAGAATACAGCATGAAGAAAGTCAGCATAAGTTGTCTAGCAAGTGCTTCAGATACACGCACGCACGCACACAGACACACACACACTAACTATATTACCAAACATGTTCAGCCATTCTTCCAGAAGCGCAGTTATTGAGGTCAGGTACTTATGTTGGACGAGAAGGCCTGGCTCGCAGTCTCTGCTCTAAGTCATCCCAAAGGTGTTCTATCGAGTTGCGGTGCAGGCCAGTCAAGTTCCTCCACCCCAAACCCCAAAATCGTGTGTGTGTGTATGTGTGTGTGTGTGTGTACAGTGCCTTAAAAAAGTATTTCAACCCCTTGAAATTTTCCACATTTTGTCATGTTACAAACAAAAATGTAAATGTATTTTACTGGGGTTTTATGTGATAGACCAACACAAGGAAGGAAGGAAAATGATAAATGTTTTTCAAAAATTGTTACAAATATCTGAATAGTGTGACATGCATTTGTATTTAGCCCCCTTTTCTCTGATACCCCAAACTAAAATCTAATGGATCCAATTGCCTTCAGAAGTCACCTAATTAGTAAATAGAGTCCACCCTGTGTAATTTAATCTTAGTATAAATATAACTGTTCTGTGACGCCCTCAGAGATTTGTTAGAGAATATTAGTGAACAAACGGCATCATGAAGTCCAAGGAACACACCAGACAGATCAGGGATAAAGTTGTGGATAAGTTTAAAGCAGGGTTAGGTTATAAAAAAATATCCTAAGCTTTGAACATCTCACGGAGCACTGTTTAATCCATTATCCAAAAATTGGACAGAGTATGGCACAACTGCAAACCGACCAAGACATGGCCGTCCACCTAAACTGACAGGCCGGGCAAGAAGATCATTAATTAGAGAAGCAGCCAAGAGGCCCATGGTAACTCTGGAGGAGCTGCAGAGATCCACAGCTCAGGTGGGACAATCTGTCCACAGGACAACTATTAGTCGTGCACTCCACAAATCTGGCCTTTATGGAAGAGTGGCAAGAAGAAAGCCATTGTTGAAAGAAAGTCATAAGAAGTCCTGTTTGCAGATTGCAAGAAGCCATGTGGGGGACACAGCAAACATGTGGAAGAAGGTGCTCTGGTCAGATGAGACCCAAAATTTAACTTTTTGGCCTAAAAGCAAAACGCTATGTGTGGCGGAAAACTAACACTGCACATCACTCTGAACACACCATCCCCACCGTGAAAAGTGGTGACAGCATTATGTTGTGAGGATGCTTTTCTTCAGCAGGTACAGGGAAGCTGGTTAGAGTTGATGGGAAGATGGATGGAGCCAAATGCAAGGCAATCTTAGAAGAAAAACCTGTTGGATTCTGCAAAAGACTTGAGACTGGGGTGGTGGTTCACCTTCCAGCAGGACAACAACCCTAAATATTCAGCCAGAACTACAATGGAATGGTTTAGATCAAAGCATATTCGTGTGTTAGAATGGCCTAGGCAAAGTCCAGACCTAAATCCAATTGAGAAACTGTGGCAAGACTTGAAAATTGCTGTTCAGGCGTTCTCCATCCAATCTGACAGAGCTTGGGCTTTTTTTTGCGAAGAATGGGCAAAAACTTCCCTCTCAAGATGTGCAAAGCTGGTAGAGACATCCCCAAAAAGACTTGCAGCTGTAATTGCAGCAAAAGGTGGTTCTACAAAGTATTGACTCCGGGGGGCTGAATACAAATGCACACCACACTTTTCAGATGTTTATTTGGAAAAAATGTTGAAAACCATTTATCATTTTCCTTCCACTTCACAATTATGTGCCACTTTGTGTTGGTCTATCACATAAAATCCCAATAAAATACATTTACAATTTTGCTTGTAACATGACAAAATGTGGAACATTTCAAGGGGCAGGAATACTTTTTCAAGGTATATGTGTGTGTATATATATATATATATATATATATATATATATATATATAATTTTATTGTACGTATCGCCAAAACATTTGGACAATTGACCAGTTTGTACTACTGTCTATGTCCCCATTGGGATAAGTTCACCCCTCTATACCTTGGTGACTATTGTCACTAAAGCAGAAAGTGCAAGGAAATACATTTAGAGCTGTTCCCAGAAGAAGATCTGAGGCTCTTGCAATGTGGACAGCTCTCCAAGAAGGATTTTCCCCTTTCTTTGTAGAGATTTCTTCTCATCTCTTCTGCTTTTCCAGGACAGGAATAGGATAGGAATCTACCCACTTGGATACAGACAAAAAAGTAAACCGATTTTAGCACTTCTCTACTCTATTCAAAACATCAACACTTTAAGCAGTATTAAAAGTAAAGCCGAAAATGTAATATATTGCGCTTACCAATCATGGATGTGGTGGCTGCATTAGTTTTCTTTCTTAAGCTTTTTTCCACTCTGTTTTTACCTGGTGGTCTGGCCAGTAACACATCTCATGTATTAGAGTGCCCCCACCATGGATGAAGGAGCACAGGGGCACATTTGGACAGCAGCATTGCCATTCTGGGTGGAGTGGAGGGGGTTAGATGTACTAGCAGATTTAAATACACTAACAAACTGAAGCCAAACTCCAGCTAAAACTTTATAAGCAGTTACAGCAAACAGTGTTTTCCGTTCAGTTATGTTTTGCATAAGTGAATAAAAGCGCAATTATTGTAAGCACCCTTGTCCTTGTTGAATAGTTTGTCTTATCCCTGTAACTGATACATCTGCTGGAGAGCTTGTTCTTTTGGAAACACAACAGACTTATTGGCTGGATCACCAGGTGAAAATAAAGGTAAGAAAGCCTAAAAAAGAAACTAATGCAGCCACCAGATCTAAGAATTGATAAGTTGCAATAGAATACGTTTTTGCTTTTGAGTTTATTAGTGCTTTAAGAGGGAATCTAAGACTGGACTAAAACTAAAGAATGGGCACGTCATCAAATTCCTCTAGGGTTCCTTTAGTCTTTGCGAGTGTTACCGCATAGACTTTAATGTGCTTTGTGCTATGAGAGGCCATTTATTTAGAATAGGCTACTAATGCACCACAATGAACAAGAAATCATTCTTGACCGTTGTTTAAGGCAGTGCAGCACAACGCACAAATTGTGTCCCGTAATGCAGGTGCGTTGACACCAACACTAGTTGTGCATTGCGGTACCATTCTAAATGAATGACACCATACAAGGCCACTATAGTTCTGAAGGGACCTTAATCTTTTCAGGTATTTTTGATCATGCAGTCTGTCTTTTAGCATGTCTTCTACCTGAACCCTTCTAAAATGAGCCCTTGTGTCCTTTTATACAATACCCTTACATATACACTAACCTTACCTAATCTTTAACCTATGTCCTGGTTCACACTGATGCAATGCGGGAAATGCAGCGAATCGTGCGTTTTCCAGCACTGCATTGCAATTGCACTGCATCCATGCAATCTGCTGCGGGTATCAGTGTTAATTTAGACACCCCAAAACAGATTGCAAAAGGCAGTGTGAATGCCAGAAATCTGATAGCATGCAATGTGATTCAGGTGTGGGAAAAATAATAATGGTCTAGAACCATTTTCCATGTAATGCGCACAGGAATCTGGTGCGGTTTCCTGTGCGAATGAAATGCAGTGTCCCACATCGCACAAGTGTGAACCTAGACTAAAAGCAGGGTGGATTTGATTTAAATCGTGTCAGTAAGGTTTGTTTAAATCATAGTTTTCTACATAAAGACTAATTCTTGCTGGTATAACTTTAATATGCAAGTAGATGAAGATTTTTAGAATAACAACTTTTCATATTAGTTTTTTTATCCCCAGTTTAATAGGTTATCAATCATTCATATTTGGAGAAGGAGAAAAATAATCATTACCTTAATAATAACAATTTAAATAGATTTATTCAACTGAAACAATAACATTACAGCATATGTTATTTGCTTAAACAAACATCCATGTTAACTAATTTGGCTAAACAAAATCTATATATTTTAAGAAACTTAGACTGTCAGCCCCTTCCTCCTCACACTTAGTTTCACTTTCTTCTTGTGCAGATCTATTCCACTCCAAACAATCAGAAAAATATTGTTTCTATTCTATTCACTGAACTTCTTGAAACTTAGCACTGAAGGGGTTGATTCTGTATTCATAGGTCTGTAGAAGTTAGGATGAAGGTCTTTTTCTTAACTCTGTTCATGTTATAACATTTTTGCTGTGAAGAAGAGGCATGTGATCTCCGCTGAGTCAAATTCAGTTTTGAGAACTGCAAAAGTAAACCAAGCATCTGTGATAATATCTTGTAGGCAGAGAAACTGCCCAATAATCTTACAAAAACCTCTGGAAGAGCATGACATTGTGAATGGATTCATGGAATTTTTATTTACCAAAAAAATTAAACATATACAGCCTTATTCTACAAAATTAAAAAACTAATCTTTATTTCATGATGGAATAACCTTTGGATGGTAATATATATTTTCCTCAAAAAGCATTTTATTTAAAAAAAACAATTTAAATAAAAAAAATCTGATTTTTTTGATTTTTAAAAAAAAATCATTGATTTTTATCCACCTAACTAAAAGTAATCCCTGCAGCAGCACACATACCTATTGACCGGAACATAACCATCCCATGATATAAAAGAACAGTGCCAAGGTGCCATGCAGCCTTGGTGTTTCGAGGTTAGGCTTCTTCCAGTACCTATCTTTTCTGTGTTCTGTTTACCTTTTTAGGTCAATAATTCAAGTTAATGAAACAAAAGAAAAAAATATGGTCTAGCTTGACCCATTCTGCTGGAGGCCCAAAGTTCTTTTTGTTTTCCCCTCTGATCAGCTAATATAGGGGTCTTCAAACTTTCTAAACAAACGGCCAGTTTACTGTACTTCAGACCTTAGAGGGGCAGGACTAGGGCCAGTGGAAGATGAAAAAGCCCTAGCATCAAGTGGGAGTAAACAATACCTAATCTTTGGTGTCAGTGGGGGAGGAACTGTACCTTTTTAATGATGTCAGTGGGAGGAATAGTGACCCATCATTGGCTTCAATGTAATGAGTTCTGCCCCATTGTTGGTGTCAGTGGGAGGAATCTTGCCCTTTTGTTGGTGTCAGTATATGGAATAGTGCCCCAAGGGCCAGATAAAGGCAAGCAAAAGGCTGCACTTTGGAGATTGCTGAGCTAGATAATGTAGACTGTGTATTTATTTTTCATTTTTTAGGATTGCACAGCTGAAAAAACTACTTGACGATTCAACATCTGAAGAAAGCAGTGATAGCAGTGACAGTTCCCAAGAAAAACATAAGAAAAAGAAAAAGAAGAAAGACAAAAAGAAGAAAAAGAAGAAGAAAAGCGCAAATCTTCTCACAAGAGCTCTGATTCAGACTAATGTAGTCTAAAAGAATGATGCAAAGTACATACAGTGAAAGAATGACATTGATCCAGTATGTGGACAGGATGACTTTAGAGATGGGAGAACAAGACTTTATGCTTGTACAGTCAATAATCAGGCATATCCAGTATGTGGACATGATTAAAGGGAATCTGTCAACTTCAAATTAAAAAAGCTGCTATAGCGAAAGGTGCAGGCTGCTGGACCATTAATACTTTAAAGTCTTGTAAGCTACTGGAATAGCTTGTACAATCATACCTCCTGATCTGCATATTTATTACCCTCGCTATATAGGGTAACACAGATGAGGATGATGGGATGGCTCCAGAGCTTATGCATTAAAACTGAACTCCAGGCAGACCACTAAATATGCAGATGAAATGCATATATTGGTGCTCTTTTACCTGCCAATGGATTTATATTTCTGTCCATCTATTTCTGAGATTTACACATTTCTGCTAGGTCTTCTAAATAGTTCTTCTAAGAAACTGTAACTGGTCAGTGAAGGGAAAGCAGCACAGCCATGAGCTAAATTTTCTGTCACTCTGCTCTCTCTGCCTGTACAAGGGATTGCAAGTTGATACATAAATTACTTTACCTGCTTGTATAAAAAATACATGTTATTCTGTATTAAAGTATACAGAGCTCTGGTAACCTGTGTGTTTTATATCTGCCTGAAGTTCAACTTTAAAAAAAAAATGTAAATGAGGATATTCTTTTTTTCTTATTATGTCTAGTTCTTTTGTGGTTTGAAAGTATGTATATTATATCCTAATCAAAATTCTGTACATCTCTGTGCTTGACCTTAGCCTGTGTATGGCCGTGTGCAGAAATTTTCAACTAATAAGAGTTTTGATACTCTTATGATGTTTACAGCGTAATACATTTTAAATCGCTTGAGAACCAGCTTGTATTACCCCTTCATTACCAGGCCATTTGTCTGTTTGCAGTGCTGTGATACTTTGACCAGCAAATACTTCTCATGCAACACTGTACCCAAATAAATTTATATCAGTTTTCTGAGAAAGATAGAGCTTTTTTTTTTTTATATATATATAATGTAGTTAAACCCAAAACCAAAAATGTAAGATATTGAGGTTTACCAATCAGTTTACCAGTTTTTTACCCCTCTGTTTTCATCTGGTGATTTAGCCAGTAACATACCTCCTGTATTAGCCCTGGTTCACATATGTGCGTTCCTGCGGGCTGCGTTTTGCGTGGGTACAAGAGCCCATTCATTTGAATAGACTCCCGTGCCCCAGGACACTCAGGGAAGAAGTCCCTGCACTTCTTTGGAAACCGCAGCCCGCACGAGAACCTTGGTTTCCAGAGCGGTTGCGATTTCCAGTGCGGGCGGCGTGCCATTAGAATGAATGGCACCCTTCCGCATGTCCGCATTCTTCTGTGTGGGTGGTGCGGCTGCACGGATTTTTTTGTGTGTATCCGCAGCGGCACCACCCGCACATATGTGAACCAAGCCTTAAAGTGCCCCCACCTGGATGAAGCAGCACAGGGGGGACTTTTGGATAGCAGCATTGCTAATCTGGGGGGAGGGAGTGTTAGATGTATTAGCAGATTTAGATACAGTAATACAGTTGTGTCCAAAATTATTCAACCCCCACTGAAATTGAGTGTTTTGGCCAGTTTGACATTGCTTTTGATCATTCAGTCATCTTGCTTACATTTACATTAAAGAGGCACTTGTAGGTCAGACAAATATAACATAACAGTTATAATGAAATAACCACAAATGTCTTTTCTGTGCTCACAGCATTATCAGTTTTATTCAACCCCCAAGTGACATTCAATCTTAGTACTTAGTACAGCATCCTTTTACAGTTATAACAGCTTTTAAACGTGAAGCATAGCTTGACACAAGTGTCTTGCAGCGATCTACGGGTATCTTCGCCCATTCTTCATGGGCAAAGGCCTCCAGTTCAGTCACATTCTTAGGCTTGCGCACTGCAACTGCTTTCTTTAAGTCCCACCAGAGGTTCTCAATCGGATTTAAGTCTGGTGACTGCGATGGCCACTCCAAAATGTTCCAGCCTTTCCTCTGCAACCATGCTCTAGTGGACTTGGAGGTATGCTTGGGATCATTGTCCTGTTGAAAGGTCCAACGTCTCCCAAGCCTCAGGTGTGTGACGGACTGCATCACGTTTCCATCCAATATCTCCTGGTACTGAAAGAGAATTCATGGTACCTTGCACACGCTGAAGCTTCCCTGTACCTGCAGAAGCAAAACAGCCCCAAAGCATGATTGACCCTCCACCATGCTTCACAGTAGGCAAGGTGTTCTTTTCATCATAGGCCTTGTTCTTCCTCCTCCAAACATAGCGTTGATCCATGGGCCCAAACAGTTCTAATTTTGTTTCATCAGTCCACAGAACACTATCCCACAACTTTTGTGGTTTGTCCACATGGCTTTTGGCATACTGCAGTCGACTCTTCTTATTCTTTGGAGACAGCAAGGGGGTACGCCTGGGAGTTCTGGCACGGAGGCCTTCATTACGCAGTGTGCGTCTTATTGTCTGGCTGAAACTTCTGTACCCACATCTGACAAATCTTTTCTCAGTTCCTCAGCAGTCACACGGGGACTTCTCTCCACTCTACGCTTCAGGTAGCGCACAGCAGTCGAAGTCAGCATCTTCTTTCTGCCACGACCAGGTAGCGTTTCAACAGTGCCCTTTGCCTTGAATTTGCGAATGATGCTTCCTAAGGTGTCTCTTGGTATGTTTAACATCTTTGCAATCTTCTTATAGCCATTGCCCTTCCTGTGAAGAGAAATCACCTCTTCTCTTGTCTTCCTGGACCATTCTCTTGCCTTCACCATGTTTGTAACCACACCAGTAAATGTCTAGAAGGAGCTGAGTATCACAGTCATTTTAAAGCTGCCTAATTGGTGCTTATTATGCTTGATTGCTGCTCGGTGACATCCACAGGTGTTTTCAATACCTGATGGAAAGCACCTGTATGAACCTCTGTTCTTCAGAGTGGTAGTCTTTAAGGGGTTGAATAATTGTGGCAATGAAGAAACCACATAAGAACCATTTACTACTGTATTACATAAACAATTGATGTCATTTTAGTTGCATTTGGGTAGTTACAACGTCCTTGTAGGATTTGATTCTGAATACAATTCCAAATGTACACTATAGTCCCTAAACCCCTTTACAGCATTGGGGGTTGAATAATTTTGGACACAACTGTACATTGAGGCCAAATTCCAGCTCACACTGGCAACATTTTTTTTCCCTTTTAGGATACGCTTTGCAGAAATAAAAGCTGATCATTGTAAGCACCCCTGTAAGGCATAAATGGTTTGTCTCATCCCTCTACCTGCCACATCTGCAAGAGAGATTGGTATTTTGAAAAGCAGACTTACTGGCTGGATCACCAGGTAAAAACAAGGGAAAGGAAGCTTAAAAAAGAAAACTAAGAATTGGTAAGCTCTAATAAAATAAATGTTTGCTTCTGGATTTAATACCACTTTAGTAACCACAGTTTTTTTTTATTTTTTTCCATTATACAGTAAAAAAAAAAAAAGGTTCCCTTATTTTCTGTTAATATAAACATACCAGAACAGTATGACACCCCCACCCAAAAAAAAAAGACCCCTTTTTGGAAAGCAAACAACCCAAGGCGATCCTGTTTTTTGGAATTGAAGAAACATGCTGGTATTGACAAGGTTAAAACATGGTAATGCTGCACTAGATACAGCATACAAGTCATACACAAAATGAAGAGGAGATGAGGGAGTTAAAGTACAGGTTACAGATGTAAACATATATACTGTTTATATCGTGATCACTGTGATTGGTCTCTATGATCAATCACAGAGATGCTAAAGTACAGAGCTGCTCAGAGAGGCCCTGTATACAGTGTCTGAATAGAACTGTCCAAGGAGTGATTATAACTGGAACTTTAAAAGTAGAAGTCCATCACCCTGCCATTTTTTTTAACAATACAGCAAGTGTAGTTCTTAAAACAATTAGGAGTGAATCGTAAGTCTAACATGTCATTTACTTATGTTTTAGCTGGATCTACATCTTAAAAGTCATATTTGGGCAGTTTAGGGATCCTTCAGCTTTTCTGGATCAAGAGTGTATTGAAAAATAGCAATAGTACAGAGAAAAGGAAAATGTAGATGCAGTGATAGCATATTGGAGTGGCTTAGGACAGTGCTTTTGAGTGACAGTGTATGAAGAAAGTTCATGTAATGTACCCTCTATATTTCCCTCCTCCTTTCAACAATCTATTTTTAGTGGAGTTGCCCTTGAAGATACTTGCATTAAGTTGATGTGGATGATTGAACATTTTTTGCTTTTCACTTTTGGTAAAGAGAGATGACATTTTACAGTAAATGTGCAACATGTAGATAGATATTTATTTACCTGTGTTTGCATTACTATTACTGGCTTTGAATAATAAAAAATGTAACTCCAGCCAACAGGTTCTGTGTGTTGTTAAAACAGAGAAATGTTATTATCATTGTGTCCCTATTGGGTAGATTCCTGTCCCTGTGATACTCATACATAAAAGGGAGGTGGGGTCTCAGCAGGCCAGCAAGGATAGCAATAAAACCATTGTCAGTTCTAACAATTCATCACTTTACTACAAATATTTTTTATCTGTGTCCCTGATAGATATCCCATCACTTCTTGTCCTAAAACTGCTCTAATAAGGATATAGATTGCAATTAAAAGCTGACAAAGGGTCTATCCTCTCCCCACTAGCCATAACAAAATAAAAGTTATAGCTGGAGTTGGGCTAAGGGTAACCTGTTCATAGTTATGAAGGGTTGCACATACTGGGCACACGAATAGCTGTGTGTATAGCAGCCATTTTGTCCACGTCACCAGTCTCCTATGCCATTTCTTCGTGAGAAAGCATCGCACAGTGACCTTTTCCTCTCTTCCCCTTCCACCTCCATTCAGCTCATAAAATCCACAAAATCTTAGTTGCTGGCAGACACGCCTTATCAGCCTGGTAATA